AAGCCAATACAGTATGACACCATATGGTCCTTTAGGGAGGGGTCGGTTTGTTTTGCCATTTACAACAATTGACCTATCGGTTCACCAAAGGGTGGTAAACCCACCATCATTCAACAGTATTCAACGAACCGGTGGAAATTCGCATCTATAGGTAGCAAATATCACAAGACCATGCAAAACAGTTGGACGATGATAGCTTGACTATAATTTGGTGCGTTTCAATCGTTTCATGGCCTTTTTAGCTTTTCTAAATTTTGGGTTTTCCTAAGTCATAGGGGTACCCTTGTTCATAATCCATTTGTAGATGGATTTCCCCTATAAACCATCCATAAATTCTGGGTAAATTGTAATATTTCACTAACCTGAATCTTGCGGCCATTTTGGGATGATTTCCCTTATATTAACCATCATTTCCAGTGAGGGAGAACAGTGAGGTCGTGATCAAATTTACCCAGACAAATTGGGGTACCCCCATTGATGGAACCATCCAGTCCTGAGTCCTATTTCTGCCACGCGGCCACTGACGCCCAAAGCCAGCCGCGGCACCGTCTCAAACCTCGAGACTCGGACCGTGCAAAAGCAGGGATTCCAGCAACAAAAATGGTGGATTCAACTTGATTCAACCGGCAAAAATGGTGGTCTACAACTATTTATATGGGATGAAATTTTCTGGGGGTAGACCATATGGTATTTTAAATGCCATATACGTTTTCTGGGGGTATTTTTTTTCATGCTATGAAATTTAAGTCATGTTTTGACCAAAAGACATGGATATAACTTGATTCAATCAATCACCACGGGGGAGACCCTGGCCTAGGGGTCTCAGGGGACAATGGATGCTTGTGACTTGGAGTGTTCGAACGGCCGTTTTGGGGAAGTAATATGATTTTAGGTTTTGATCTTTAAAACATGTTCAACATGTTAGATATCAGTGATTTAAACAGCAAAAACGGAGACTCAACATTTAAAACAATGGATCTTGGAATGAAACTCATCGCTATTTCCAATCCAAACCTCAGCCTGAGTAGATTTTGGTTTTTACCACTTGCTTTGGGTCTTTGCAACGCCGGCGACTGCATACTCCACCCAAGGAAGCCATTCTGTATATATATATATATACCAATTTGTTGCACTTGACAGGCAAACTGCACTCACACAAACTCAGAATGCAAAAAAATGTTTCATAAAGATCAAACAATTGTAGAATACAAATGCTTGCATTCGAAAGAACACTTGTTTCAAATGATTACAGCACCCGTACATTGCGCACCATATACGTGGCATGGCTCTGTGAGGCCGTTCCAATTTACCCAAGCATTTGTGGCACACTAGTAATATGGAGGTTTCCTTAAATGGTGATCCCCAAAAACCAAGGGTTTCAATACTATATATACGTATATATATATATATATATATAGAGTACATTTTGCATGATTTGGGGTACCTCCATTTTAGGAAACTTCTATATACGTATATATATATAGCATGTATATATTTTTTCATGCTCACTGGATTGCTTTCACGGAAAATGTATACAGGAAATAATGCTGCATTCCGGCTAACAATTGGAGGTTCCTGCAGGGTGGTAAGTTGAGCTTAATAAATGGTTCAAAAAAAACATTACTAATATGGATATATCTACCATAAACCCAAATGTTATTGGAGTTCTGTTCACCACTTTGCTATCAAAATCCCATATATATATCCCACCGTGAAGACCAGGCCAGGCCGGGCACCGCCACCGCTGCCGAGTTGCCAGGTGTCATTCAGCAGTTCTTTGGCTGAAGGCCGACGGGCCACCTGCGGCCTGCATGGAACCGTGGAAGATGTTTGCCACAAGTGAAAGTAGTCAAATAAAACCAACTATATATATATAATATATAATAATAATGAATAATAATACTAGTAAGAATAATAGTGCTAATAATAATTATATAATAATATTTTATAATAATAATATTGATTAATAATGTATAGTACCCGTACTATGGTAACAAACTATGGTAATAACTATGGTAACTATGGTAATAACATGATCGGCGTCAATGAAAAATGAACCAACAGAAACTCACACTATGGTGATTACCAACAAAGATATACAAACGTTGTCATTTAACATAGTTAAACCTAAAAGAGTGATTCAACCAACAAACCAGACTTGGGTTGTCTTGGGTTATTTCAAACAACAAAACATAGGCTTTGAACAAAATGTCTGGCGAAAATTGATGTCTGACGTCTCCCTTAGCAAACATGAAGAGACATCTACCCAGCACTTGGCACCGAAGCCAACTCAGGATCCGGCCAACAGCAAAAAGTACCCTATAGATTACCAAAAAACCCAGCTAAAAAGGATAGAGTTTCCCACAAGTTAGATGTCAAGATGATTTCATGGACTAGCTACCAACTACTGTAAGTGGCACGATCACAAAAAACAACAACAATGAGTGGCTGGTTGGTGGGCAATAAGCATGTCGAAGCCCATTCATTGCAACATATTGCAACTTGCTTGGAGCGACATTGACAACATAGTCTGACTCACTCTGGCAATCCAACCTCGCATCAGAAAATCCTCTGTCTATTTCCATATCTATCCATGATTCTACAATGATTTCAAGAAGAATTGGCTTTGCATTGCCATGATTGGGATGTTTGATTCCAAAAAGTAATGTGAGTAGGATGTTAGCATATCATCCATCTGTCCCATGGTGGCAACATTTATATGAGATGTTGAATGTTGATTTTCGTGACGCGATTCCACCACATTCACCCCGATTGAATTCCAACCAAAACGTGTTGGATGTCTAGTGCCAATCCTTTATGATGATTTCTGATGATTTCCATGGGATACTATGGGGATTTTCTTGGGATTTTCTTGGGATTTATAGGGGATATAATGGGGATTACCCGGCCTGGTAAACTAACACTTTGCTATTGAACATGGTCGTAGACATAGTTGATATACCCAGCTATAAAAATGGTGATTTTCCATGGTTTTTTCTAGGTTTACCAGAAAGTGTCACAAGCCATTCAGCCATGGCAGCCATTGTTTCAAACTGCTCCTATCCCATGCGCCCACTGAGATACCCCGCAAGCCTGCAATAACGAGTAACTAAAACATCATGAAAAAACAAAAATAGTTGCTTGGTAAGTTGGTATTATTTGATCCCCCTTCCTAAAAAACAACGGATATTTTTTCAACTACCCTTCACTACGCCCTGTCACTTCGTCTCCGTCCTGAGGGCTGCTTGGCATGCTCTCAAGGCTGCAGGCGTCACCTGCTGGTTTCTACAATCAACCGATTGGTTCAAGGAACACGTTGCTATGACCAATTGCAGGAAACATCCGGAAGCAATGATTTGTCTTTCATAAAGAACTAATAAGAATTATATATACAATTATATATAGATATAAATATATATACATGAAATATGGATTTCTGACACTCTTCACTGCAACTCTTCCCTTTAAACAATTCTGTCTACAATTGTTTGATCATTTGAAGTAAGAAAACAAATTTGAAAACATATGAAAACGTTTATTTTGCTGCCAAAGATTGACCTAAAAGCAACAAAAAAACATCAGGGACTAGGCATGGATTTGGGTTTCAGGGATCATCACCAGCTGTAACGTCACCAGGAGTGGACTTGGATCAACTGTAGCAGCCCCCCTTTTCAGGGAAGTAACTGGAACAGTTGAAATCCTGGAAATCCTGGAGACATGAAGTAAATCACATCGAAGTACCATCCTGGAACGGTATATCCAATCCTGAAAACATGTCCATCAAGCATTACCCAAGCCGTCCTGGGAAAACGGCTTGGAAATTTACCGCACACTTCTCAAAGCAAAAAGGCGCACCCTATGGGACGATTCCCTTCAGCCTCTGGTAATGAGTATAACAGTTTGCGAAGTGGAAAATCGCCATGATTTGCGTTAGATAAATCATCATTCTTATCATCTAGAGAAAACCCGCGTCCATAGCAAACTGGTCAATAACCAACATGTCATACCTTGGCCATGCAGTGCACCTGTCTCCACGCAGCATCGGCTTCGAAATCAGCACCTTTGGGACTCAAGATACGACGTCGCACCTTAGAAACGTGGCTCAAATAGGCTTAAATGAGCTGAAACAGGATCAGTCAGTGACCTGAAATCAGGTGATTTTAGGATATTTTAGGGTGATTCCGTTTACTGATCATAATCAGTGGCTTGTTTACTATGAGGGCAACATATTTCAAACAAACGGATGGATAATGATGGATATGATACAGTTTGCATGCATAAAAATCAAAGAAATTGCCTTTGGCAAGGTTCCCATCACCACTTTGCAGCGATATGTGTGGTCATGTTTAATACTGATCCACACTAACCCAATCTAAATAAACAATCCATTTCGCAGGACAATTACAACGTTGTTGAGCCACAGGCAAATGGCAAGCAACTGGGCGGTGTATCTAATCTGTCTACTGCGATGCAAGTGCAGTTGGAATCACCGCAGATCATCTCAGAAAGTCATTGGCAAGGGTGAACCGAGAAAGGCCGGGGACCTTTTCTGGTGTGGTACGGGGCATAGGTTTCATGAAGCCATTGAGAATCAGGATCATCAGTATTTCGGGGGTTGCACCCTGTTCAACCTTGAATATCGGAACACCTTGGAAATGCACGATTTTACTACTGTAAACTCACTATATAGAATTTGTTTCATCTCAATTTGGCTATTGCTCGAAAATGGGGCACCTATATTTCACATGATTTCACCATGTTTTTTTGGGCACGGCTTTCCAATTTTGCCCCGTGCCCATTTTACCCCAAATTCTGATCATCAGTTTCCCTACTAAGATTGCCATACATTTGGGTAACACCCAAGCGGCATTTTCTCTATGCACCATTTTTTGACAATCCCCTTTGACTGTTTTCTTGTGAAAATAGACCCAAAAATCCAATGCTTGCTCATCACATTTCCGATTCAAAGACGCCTATTTGTCACGTCTCCTCATCCCCAATCATTTCCAAGGGTCAGCATCTAAGTCATTGCCCACAGTGTAGAAAGGGTGCCGGTTGGTCAACATCTCGAAAATCATCACGCCGATCCTTTGACTGACGTGACTGATTCTTGTTGGGAAAAGGTTGGAAACAACAGTTGAGGACTGTAAATATATGGGTTTGTTGCGATTCTTGCCCTCAATCCTTTCCAAAATTTGTGTAACCTGTGAGAACTTTCTGGTGATTACAACTTGTTGGCCCATTTTTTTCAAAATCGTCCAGTACCTAATATATTTATATTAGGATGCAAAATCAATCAGCTACGACTTATTACTTGGATTTGCTCCGGGTCCCCAACTTCCATACTTGGGGGTTTCCTAAAATAGGGCTACCCCTGTTCATCATCCATGTTATTTTGGGATTTTCCCTTATAAAACATCCATAAATTGGGTACCCCAGGCTTAGGAAACCTCCAATTTTTCTACCCAGCTCGATGTTTTTCGCCAAGGAGCGACCAAACATCCGCCTTTTCCCCATATTGACCTTCATAGACCTGGCGGGCATGGTATGGCGCATGGTGATCCACCGGTTGGTTAAGAACGGGATTCCCCTATCGGTGATATTGGGATTATATGGGATTATATGGAATGATGGACAGGATCATCGCTGGTTCTATGGGATCTGGTTGGTGGTTTCAACCTACCCCTCTGAAAAATGATGGAGTTCGTCAGTTGGGATGATGACATTCCCAATATATGGAAAATCATAAAATTCCATGGTTCCAAACCACCAACCAGGGATTGGATGGGACTATGAGATTCCCCATTTAAAAAACGATCATCCCCGAACCATCAACGGTAGATCGCACTGCTCAGTTGGAATCATCCACCTGTATGGTTTTGTCTCATGGGATAACCTGAGAACCCCAAGTCCAAGGGGTTCTCATCACTACCCCATGAAAACTGACTTATACTGCGGGTAAAACTATGTAAATCCAGAGTTCTTGGACATTTTTTCATATGCAATAGCCATTGCTAACAAGATGTTTGGGATGTATCCCATCTTTTGACTTGTTGTAGCCCCTCCACTTTGGACCCCATATCGGTTTGCACAAAACTATAGGGTTCCCTTGAGTCATCATCTTCCCAATTTAGCCACTGAAATTCACGCCATTTACAATACACACCCAAACCTCAGAACCTTGGTTATATAGTGTATATATATATATATTATACATATATATATAGATCACTTAACTATTATTTTATCAAGTTGTGCTGGCTTATAATGCAGCTTTTCAAGGATTCTGAAAATGGTTTACATCATATTCTTATTTTTTGCTGCTCCAACCACTATAAATTCCGTGAACCCCGTGGTTGAATCCCCACTTTTGGATTCATGTCATGGGTTAGTTTCCCATTCCTAGAGTAATTGCCAATGTCTCTTGGTTGAAAACCCAAGTAAATCCAACTCCATCCAATAAAATACCATATTAATCAAATCCCCCAAATTTCCCAATCTTTGATAGTGAAATCCGAAAGAAACATGGTGAAATCCTTACAACATGTGATGGTTTTCCTCTGTGAAATCGCCATTTTTCAGGGAACAAATCCCTGGTGACACCCGGGCGCCGACGCCTCTGGCGCCATATAGTGTGGGGTACCCGCCCGCTGCATGACCTGTGGCGTCGCAGTTTTGGAAAACCCCGATGCTGTCAGGGGAGCGCGCCAGGGAAGGGGAGTTTCCCGCGACGACGACGACGACGACGACGACCACAACAACAACAACAACAACAACAGAATGAACAAACTGCATTAAAAAAAACAATGATAAACATGTTCTTCCACGGTTTCAGAATGTTTCAGACGTCGCGTCACCTTTGCCTGTTTCGTAGCCTTTTGCAGGCGCCGCACAATGTACCGAAGAAACGTGCGCGGAAACCATATTTTGGATAGTCTTCGGTTCCAAAGGCAAGGCAAGACGTGCATAAACGCAACGATACAAAGACACGCAAAGTTACAGCGACGGGCAAACAGGGCTGCAAAGGCAAAAACATGCGCATGCATGTGAAACACATGCAACATGATTTTTTGTTCCAAAGGTTTCAAACGTCAAAAACGCCCACTGAAGCTATATTTTGAAAGTTTTGGGTTCCAAAGGCGGTGCCAGACTTTCGTCGATTTCTGCGCAAGGTTGTGTGTGTGTGTGTGTTCCATGCTATGTTTTTCAGCGTTGTTTCTTTTGTTTGTTTAAATTATTTTTGTGTTTTTCTCTGGGGGGTGTGCTTGGTCTTCACGTGCACAAAGTTTGCCGTTGCGGGCATTGTGTTTGCTTTGAATTCAGCCTGAAACACGTTGCCATCCCGCTGGATCTCCAGCCCAATGGCCAATTGCACCACAATGCATGCACTTTGATCGCTTCTTCAAGTCAGCCAGCTTTGCAAGACGTTGCTCAATTGTAAAATGAGAGCGAACCAACTTGCCCTTGCCAGGTTTGCCCTTTTGGCCAAACTTGCCTTTGCCCTTGGCTTTGCCAAAAGCTGCATGAACTGCCAACTGAAGTTGAATCGCATCACCAGTTTGCTTCTCATCTGCGACATCTAAGGTCATGTTTGCAATGCCACATATTGGATTGACTGGATTCTATTTGAGAAAAGTACTGCATAATACATATAAGTCCGTATACACCCCTCTGTGTTTATTCTTATCATACCGTAAACAATACATCGGCAAGCAAAAAACATATGTGGAAGGTTAGAAAATAATCGAACTCGCTTCAGTGTTGGCGGTTAGCACCCTTTGAAAAAAACCTCCCGGCTTTCCCATTCCTGATGGATTTTCCACAACTCCGCCGCCTCCTTAGTCACTTTGGTGGCCAAAATTTCCAGGCCTGGGATGGTCTCTTTTTGGGAGAACCAGGGCTGGTGCCAATCATTGGGATCATCAGAAAAAACCAACCCAATGATGAGTAAATGATTTCCTACAAACTGTGAATGCCGGAGACGTTGGGATGTATGAATATAATGTAAATTGTTTACTCTTGATTCGCAACCTTCAAACATTTTTTTCAGATTTTTGTTGATGCGTTATATCCATTGCAGTGCGTGAAAGCAAGGCGGAACCAACAAAATGATAACGGTGGTTCATGATATTGAACGATAAAAAATCTAATGAACTTGAACGGACAAACGTTGACCGCAACATCGCAACTGAAAAAACACAATGAAGATGTTGTGATTGGCCCCATGAATGGATGTTGTGCATGTTATTTCATGGCAACAAGGCAAAATTACACGAAAACAAGTTCTCAGATGGTGCAGCCATGGGCCTCGCTCCCAACTACAACTGCTTCGTACAGCCCACAACCCGCATCTATGGCTACCGGCCAGTGGCGCCGGCGCCATTTTATGAGGATGTTTTTTATAAAATGACAAACCCCCAAGGTTTGGGTTTATAACATGTTAATTAATTATATAAGACCGTTTTTATGAAAAATGATAATGCCCAAAAATCAATACGACTGAGATCCTTTTATTTCTTTGAACAACGGGTTTAATTAGTGCCAATCATTTTGGCCCTAGGTTAAAGGAGATGTTGTCATTTTATGAATTTAGGACCGGACAACTTTATAAACCCGGGACCCCTCAGTCCCACAACATATGTTTCATTTTAAAACCCGAGCATACCAGGGACAGTGGGTCATTTCATAAGAACAGAACACATCCCAAACCATTTTTTGGTGTATGCCTATTCAACCTATTCAGTTTTTGCAGGTAAGACCGCAATCTTCAAAAGAAAGACGCGCATAAACAAACATGGTACATTATAAACCATTGAAGGTTGGACCGTCACTTGATAACATAATAAATATTAATTAATAAATAATCACAAAAACGGACCCAACGGGGAAAGGGGTGGGGGGGTAGGATTTTTTTAGTTGTCCCAACCATGCATTTAAAGGCCACCGCTTTTCATCAACAATCCAAGGCCACGCCAAAGCTGTGCCCGCAGCCAGCACAGCACCACAACATGCCCACATGACACCTACGACAACTATATTCTTATGACAACATGTCAAGTACCATGTTGTCACTATGTTGTCACTATGTTATCACTATGTTCCTATTATTCTACCTTAGGTGTGCCAGCTAGCCATCACAAGGCCTGCAGAACAGGCCCCGTCCCCTCCCCCTTTCATGTCAAAATCAAGAACACGGGGATTTTTTTTAAAATAATATTGATAATGAAGGTGACCCGGGGTTAAGTTTCTTTTCACACGGATTAGTTAGTTCATAATGCCATAAAAGAAAGGAACCCTTATAAAAGGGAGGTCAAAAATTCTAAGCCATCAAAAGTGGTCCTGATTTTTCGGGTGGGAGGCGGGAGGATGGCTTAAACAATGACCCCAAAAACGTCACCCAGATTGATACACCTCAAAAGGGATATTGTAAGGGGGATTTTGAATAGGTCTTGGTGTGGGTCTCGGCGGCTTCCTTTTTGTCACTTCACTCGTCTTGTCACCAACATAGCGGCCTGCAACCTTTGCTCTGTTCCAACCCCCAGGCATCTCCAAACACCCGATTATTTCGCAACATTGGTCAACGCCGAGCATCAAACTAGATGGAATATGTATATGGATGTATATGGTCCCCTGATGTTTGCCATCCAAGAACTTGCCCAATCCCCCAAATTCATCCCTTGCATGCCTGGTTCAGCCCCCCCATTGGGATATAAGTTCCCAATCGAACATCATGTTGCGGCACCTCCAGGCAACTTCGGCAGCAGCCGCGCCACAGCGCCGAGCGCGCCTCGGCGGTCTTGCAGCTCCTGCAAAGCGTGGATGGTAAAAGGATCAGTCAGTGGCCTCCCACACACAGGGCGAAATTGGGGTTAAATCATTGGTTAGACAAAAACTAGCCATTATTTTAAGTTTATTTCCATGCAGATAGAAATTTTCATCGAAATCGATAATTACATCTGAAACAACCATTGAAATTGTGGAACGAAGGATTATCCAAAGAAAAGGGTTGTGTCAACAGAAGTGGTGATACAAAACAACCAACTGCCAGCAGTTGGCTTCGTTGCGATAAGATGATGGTACCGTGACATCCAACCTAAGATCAATTGCAGCTTAACTTGGGACTGAAAAGAAAAATATTCCGGCAAGAAACCCCAAACAGTGTGGGGGGGGGGAGTTGGAGGATGATGTAGAATAATTTTGAGGATGATGATGTTGTTGGGGATGATGATATTGATGCTGTTGATGAGGTGTGAGGATGATGTTGAGGATGATAAGGCAGAGGATCATGATGCTGAGGATGATGACGATAACGATGATGATGATAATGATGCTGATGATGATGAGGATGAGGATGACAATGGTGATGGTGATGGTCATGGTGATGTTGGTGATGATGATGATGATGAGGAGGAGGAGGAGGATGATGATGAATATGATGATGTTGTTGAGGATGATGATGTTGATGCTGTTGATTGGGTGCGGGGATGATGTGAGGGGTGATAAGGTGGAGGATCATGATGCTGAGGATGATGACGATGACGATGTTGATAATGATGAGGATGAGGATGACGATGGTGATGGTGATGGTCATGATGATGATGGTGATGGTGATGATGATGATGAAGAAGAAGATGACTATGTTGATGTTGTTGAGGATGATGATGTTGATGCTGTTGATAAGGTGTGAGGATGATGTTGAGGATGATAAGGTGGAGGGCCATGATGCTGAGGATGATGGTGATGATGATTATGATGATGATGATGATGGTGATGATGATGATGATGGTGATGGTGATGTTGATGACGGTGACGATGATGATGATGATGATGATGATGATGACGATGATGATGATGATGGTCACGGACAGTGATAATGCGGAAGATAAAGTGGAGGCGGACAAGGTGGATGATGATAATGTTGAGAAGGAGGAAGACAATGATGTTGCGGATGATGACTGTTGATGAGGCTGAGGAAAAGGATGAGAATGTTGCGGAAGATGAGGTGGAGGAGGATGATGTTGCGGAAGATGAGGTGGAGGATGATGATGTTGCGGAAGATGATGTGAAGGGGGGAAAAGATGATGATGTTGAGAATGATGATGTTAAGGAGGAGGAAGGTGATGATGTCGAGGATAATGATGTTGAGGAGGACCGATCCCAAGACCTAGGACCTGACTTTGTGCGAGCCTGCGCAGGCGAAATGCACTTCAACATTTCACAAGACCCATTTTAGACGGAATTTTACAGGAAAAGTGCCCGAGCCCAGAACCTAGGCGCGCACAAAGAGGAACTCCGTCAAACCGTTCGGCAACTTTGCTACAGTAACCATGCTGTTTTTTCGACCAAACCCACTGACATCCTGCCATCCATCTGTTTTGTAAGCTCATGTTCAGTTTTAATGCCCCCTATACCGATAATTTGTCAAACTCTTCCATCTCCATTTTGGTCGCTTAAATGTTGCATGCAACTTCTGCGGCCTTAGAACGCTACATAGAGCAAAGAGCAGCAAAATAAACATACTTTACAGCTCCGTGTTTGATGCCTTCTGCTGCTAAGTTCAGCGACGTGGGATATCAGCAAAAAAAGGAGCTAGTGCATATCAACCCTAGTCATAAACCAAAAAAAACGTAACCCACAAAATGCAGGAGTATCAGCCCGACATGAGTTGATTGATGGTGCCAAGTCCGTTGAAGATCCCTCCTTAAAATGCAAATCATGGGGTGGGCAGACCACAAAAAAAAAACATACACGTATAGAAATACATAAACATATGTATGTATGTATGTATGTATGCATGCATGCATGTATGTATGTATGTACGTACGTATGTATGCAATGTATGTAATGTATGTATTGCGTGTATGTTATGTATGTTATGTATGCAATGTATGTAATGTATGTAATGTATGTAATGTATGTAATGCATGTAATGCATGTAATGCATGTAATGTATGTAATGTATGTAATGTATGTAATGTATGTAATGTATGTAGTGTATGTAATGTATGTAATGTATGTAATGTATGTAGTGTTTGTAGTGTTTGTAATGTATGTAATGTATGTAATGTATGTAATGTATGTAATGTATGTTATGTATGTTATGTATGTTAGTATGTTAGTATGTATGTATGTATGTATGGATGCATGCATGCATGCATGTATGTATGCTATGTATGCTGTGTATGCTATGTATGCTATGTATGCTATGTATGCTATGTATGCTATGTATGCTATGTATGTCATGTATGCTATGTATGTCATGTATGCTATGTATGCTATGTATGCTATGTATGCTATGCATGCTATGGATGTTATGTATGTTATGTATGTAATGTATGTAATGTATGTAATGCATGTAATGCATGTAATGCATGTAATGCATGTAATGGATGTAATGTATGTAATGTATGTAATGTATGCAATGTATGTAGTGCATGTATTGTATGTAATGTATGTAATGTATGTAATGTATGTAGTGTATGTAATGTATGTAATGTATGTAATGTATGTAATGTATGTAATGTATGTAATGTATGTAATGTACATAATGTAGGTAATGCAGGTAATGTAGGTAATATGGTAATGTAATGTCATGTATTGTAATGTAATGTATTGTAATGTAATGTACATTACATTACATTACATTACATTACATATATATATTACAAATATTTAAATAATATAAATATATATATATATATACGTCTATACATATACATACATATTTGCATGTACACAAATCAATGTTGGTTCTCAATGCATCCACATCCTGTTTTGTTGTAAACCCTTGATCCTTTTGACGAAACACTCTGGTAATCAGATTGCAAGCCGGCACGGGATCATCATCATCATCATCATCACCATCATCTTTGACAACTGATGATGACATTGATGATACATTCTGATACATTGTCATTTATCAAGGATGGTGGTGATGATGATGATGATGTCGATGTCAATGACAAAAGGATGATTGACATTGATCTTTGTTAATTGGTAATCATCATCATGTTCATTGCCGACATTGCCGACATGACAATCCGGCCATCTTCCATTGCCATGGTTGCTCAGCAATGAAGAACCATTATTTGGACTTGTATGAAACTAGATCACAACAAAAATTAACTAGTCCTTTTTCTTTTTAACTTCCCACTTAATTTTGTCGGTCATGTTGTACCATGTATAAAAACGTGGTACATGGACTATGGTCACCCAATGAGCATTGGAAATCATTTTGGCCATCACACTTCTCTCCCATGCCCGAAATGATAATCCCAGTGGGAAAAAACAATGTTTTCTGGTTGGTGGTTGAGCCACCCCTCTGAAAAATGATGGAGTTCCTCAGTTGGGATGATTATTCCATTCCCATTATTAATGGAAAGTCATAAAATTCCATGGTTCCAGTCACTCCAACCAGATGTTTTGTTTTGACCGAGTTCATGTTCCAAAGCAATCCTGATAGTTTCTCTTGATTCCCCGTGGATTCACTGAGGAAAAAAACACGAAAATCACCCAATCAACGGGGGAGTTCCATAAATGCTACCCCAATAGTGGATGTTTTTTTGGGAAAATCCATGATTTATGGATGGTTTTTCTTATGTTATGGATAAACCATCAATTTATAGTACCCCAATTTAGGGAAAATCCTTCTACAAATGGATGATAACGGGAAAATCCTTCTACAAATGGATGATAACGGGAAAATCCTTCTACAAATGGATGATAACGGGAAATCCTTCTACAAATGGATGATAACGGGAAAATCCTTCTACAAATGGATGATAACGGGAAAATCCTTCTACAAATGGATGATAACGGGAAAATCCTTCTACAAATGGATGATAACGGGAAAAATCCTTCTACAAATGGATGAATAACGGGAAAATCCTTCTACAAATGGATGATAACGGGAAAATCCTTCTACAAATGGATGATAACGGGAAAATCCTTCTACAAATGGATGATAACGGGAAAATCCTTCTACAAATGGATGATAACGGGAAAATCCTTCTACAAATGGATGATAACGGGAAAATCCTTCTACAAATGGATGATAACGGGAAAATCCTTCTACAAATGGATGATAACGGGAAAATCCTTCTACAAATGGATGATAACGGGAAAATCCTTCTACAAATGGATGATAACGGGAAAATCCTTCTACAAATGGATGATAACGGGAAAATCCTTCTACAAATGGATGATAACGGGAAAATCCTTCTACAAATGGATCATAACGGGAAAATCCTTCTACAAATGGATGATAACGGGAAAATCCTTCTACAAATGGATGATAACGGGAAAATCCTTCTACAAATGGGAAAATCCTTCTACAAATGGATGATAACGGGAAAATCCTTCTACAATGGATGATCACGGGAAAAATCCTTCTACAAATGGATGATAACGGGAAAAATCCTTCTACAAATGGATGATACGGGAAAATTCCTTCTACAATGGATGATAACGGAAAAATCCTTCTACAAAATGGAATTTGATACGGGAAAATCCTTCTACCAATGGATGTGATACGGAAATCCTCTACAATTGTGATAACGGGAATCCTTCTACAAATGGATGATTAACGGGCAAATCCTTCTACCAATGGATTGCTCCCCACGGGAAATCCTTCTACAAATGGAATGAAACAACGGGAATCCTTCTACAAATGGATATAACGGAAATCCTTCTACAATGGTGATAACCGGAAAATCCTTCTACAATGGATGATACGGGAAAATCCTTCTACAAATGGATTATAACTGGACCAATCCTTCTCCAAATGGATGATAACGGGAAAATCTTCTCAATGATTATAACGGGAAATCCTTACTACAATGGAATGTAACGGGAAAATCCTTCTACAAATGGATGATACTGGCAAACCTTCTACAAATGATGATAACGGGAAACTCCTTCTAGCAACTGGATGACACGGGAAATCCTTCTACAAATGGATGATAACGGGAAAATCCTTCTACAAATGGGATGATAACGGAAAATCCTTCTACAAATGGATGATAACGGGAAAATCCTTCTACAAATGGATGATAACGGGAAAATCCTTCTGGACAAATGTGATGAAATCCTTCTACAAATGGATGATAACGGGAAAATCCTTCTACAAATGGATGATAACGGGAAAATCCTTCTACAAATGGATGATAACGGGAAAATCCTTCTACAAATGGATGATAACGGGAAAATCCTTGTACAAATGGATGATAACGGGAAAATCCTTCTACAAATGGATGATAACGGGAAAATCCTTCTACAAATGGATGATAACGGGAAAATCCTTCTACAAATGGATGATAACGGGAAAATCCTTCTACAAATGGATGATAACGGGAAATCCTTCTACAAATGGATGATAACGGGAAAATCCTTCTACAAATGGATGATAACGGGAAAATCCTTCTACAAATGGATGATAACGGGAAAATCCTTCTACAAATGGATGATAACGGGAAAATCCTTCTACAAATGGATGATAACGGGAAAATTCTTCTACAAATGGATGATAACGGGAAAATCCTTCTACAAATGGATGATAACTATAGGGGTACCCCATGGTACCCTCCAAATCAGCTTTGCCCGACTCCTCGGTGGCATTTTGCCGCAAGCGCTCGAGAGTATCGGACCTCAGGTGGTTTTTCCTCGAAAAAATGGTGATTTCATCCAGAACTATTAGGTAATCATTATAGGGATTTCATGGGATTTAGAGCTGAATTTCTGATATTTTATGATAGCTAAGCTGGTTTATTCAGAAATCCAAAAACCATTGGATGATAGAACTGGTGCACCAGCCACCGCTTTTGGGTCGCTTTTTGGGGAGCTCCGGGCAGCAGCTACCCCAGCTAGCCAGTTCTTTGAGCGGCGGTGATTCACCCTGTGTAAAGTTCTGTCGAGGTAAAGGAATTTCAGGAAGGAGGATAGCATTCCTGAATGGAATCCTGACTGAGTAACTATTTTTACTTATTATCTGATTAATTTTGTGGTATTTCTCAGAGAAAGTTTTGGTGCAAGCATGTGCAAAGCTTCCGAATCGCAAGGGAGTGAATCATGTGATTGAAAAGCATGCAATAATACAAAGCAGCATTGCTATAAAGTAGAACCCTTGGGTGTATGTAGTGTTTTTTAAAAGAAACAGGTCATGCATGTATGTATGCAACATGCCCTTCCAGATGAGTGAAACATCTGAACAAAACAGGCAACACTATTTTGAAGAAGTGCCGTATTTCCTGAAAATGTCATGCACTAAAAAAAAATGAGCGAGGCTGAACTTCTTTAAAGGATGCATTGCATATGTCCACATATTGAATGCATGTCTCTGCCAGAATATATATATATATTATATATATATTGTACTGCTACTTATTTAAGGGGATACCTTGTCTTCGAGTACAATGTTCATAGAAAAAATGAGAGGAAGGCTGAGCTCCATTGGAGGATGTATATAGTTCATCTTTCCACACTTATAGTTTCTCTTGCACGAATGTTGTTATTGTTAAGAACCTTAAAAATCACCAGACGATTGGACATTAAATATCATAATCCGGAGAAATTGTACTTATTTGCCAAACCAAAAAATCTGAAAAGTTATTGTTTCTTATTCAAGGGAATATCTTGTCTTCAAGGCAGATTGTAACCTGTAAGCAGCGCTTTCCCTTAACAACTGTCCTTCTTTTTCAAGGAATGCTGCAATGCGCATTGACAATTGCACTTTTTCACAGCAATACTGAATGTTGATCACACACTGCATATTGTGTAGGAATCTGGTGTCTTGAAAGAAATACTGCAAGTTGAACGAAGGCTGAATAGTTTTCTGAAGGAAGACTGCACTTCTCCAGAAAGGAACACTGCATGTTTAGAGGAATGCTCTACATTTTGTACGGATACTGCTTCTTTAAATGGCTCTACTTGCTTACTTTGTTCTTTACTTTTGTCTAAGTTCTCTACTTTTAGGAAGGATATCTCTAGCATTCTCTAGCTATATATATATGTTAAATGTTATCTGTGTGGCATTTTTCATCTGAAAAGCTGGGTCTTGGGAGGGGAGGGGGGGTTATATTGTAATTATATATATATATTGTACGTGGGCCCATCCCCAAAATAATGGGTCATACCTAACTGATTTACCTAGGGTAAGAAATTGGTTGTACTCATGTGGCCCCATGCTATAAAATATGCTACAAAAACATGAAAAACCCAAGCATGGGGATGATTTAGTTTGTACCATCCATGTCAAAACTAGGGAAGTTGCCGCCATCCGAGCTCTCGCTCTCAGGCCCCAGGTTTGTGGGGCCCAGGGCCAACAACAAAACAAACGTTGCAGGTGAGATTTCCAACATACCTATGACATACCACATATTAGGGGATGGGCCAAAACCCTGGTACCCCTGGTGAACATCAAAATAGCTGGTAAATGGATGTTTATCCCACCAAAAATGTATCATAGGTATTGACCCATACCACATATTGATTACAATGGTGTTTGTCTGCCAGTGATGGCGCAAAAAAAATACAAGATTGTTGGTGCTGATCCCTTGATTTTGTTGATGATGTCTTTGCTCTTCAAAGCGTCCATAGATTTAACGCAAACTTGGAGTCCAGCATGATGACTTAAGAAATCGCCATATTTGTGGCTTAAAACAATTCACCCAAATTGTTGGTGACGCTACCCCAAGATTTTGCAGATATTTTTTCTCTATTATTATCTTTTAATATCTTATATTTGTGTTTTTTTTTTTCTGGTGATTATATCCCTATTTGGGCTTGTCTGAAAATACATAGCGTACCCCTAAATCCACTCTGGTCAGTCGTCATTGTTCCTGAAAAACACAACAATAAATTGGGGATAGTCACAGTGCGCCAGTTGCAGACATCCCCAAATAAAACATTGTTGGCTATATCTCCGTTCAATCCCCGTCATTGTTGGTGTACTGTATACCGTATAGTATACCTCCAATTTTCCGTGATTCATGCTGCAATCTTTATGTTTCATGGTTGACTTTCATTAGAACACTAAACATCCACAACAAAAATATAAAATCCCGATGTTTCATATAGTTAAATGATATATATTCCTACGGTCAAATCATGTTAATCCCTTGTACATCCCAGATTTCTTACTTCGTCAAAGGCGCAGGCCAAAGTCGATGACCTTCACCGGCGAATCGGCCAGTGGCGTCAGAAAGAGCACGTTCTCCGGTTTCAAGTCGCGGTGCAGAACGCCTGGAGAGTTCCATAGGGGGAAGAGGATTAGGGAAAACATACCCATATGCGAACCATGGTGCTGGTATATTTACCTACAAAACTGGGTGATTTTTAAATGTTGGAACATATTCCAGCACCATGGAGCATATGGGATATGGAACACTTATATGGAAAAAATGATGATCTGATGTTAACGTGGAATTTCAGAGAAACAAATACAGGAGTTTTTCCTGAAAAGTTGCATACCACCAATTGAGTTGTAGCTTTTTTTGAAGAGGAAAAAACATGGCAACATATAATCTGGTTGGTGGTTTCAACCTCTCTGAAAAAAAATATTATAGTCAATGGGAAGGATTATCCCATAATATTATGGAAAATAAAACATGTTCCAAACCACCAGCCAGATAATTACCCTCTGGTAATTTAACATAGCTATTGAAAATTGCCATTTATAGTGAGTTTTCCCATTAAAAATGACCATTTTCAATAGCTATGTTAATTTACCAGAGGGTAACCACACATCTTCGTGGAATTTTCTACCCAAAAGAACCCCTTTGGTCCAGATTCTCGGACGTCCCATCGGGGCCCGTCAACTTGGCGAGTTCGGACTATTTTGGGGGGCTACGAACTAAGATGACTTGGGGCCACCGACCATGCCAAGTTATTGGGTAAAATATGGGATAATGATGGATAATGTGTATAGACTCTATAGATGTATCAATCTATCTATTTGTAACTGTATATACATCTGGGTAAATTATAACATTTCACTAACCTGAATCTTGCGGCCATTTGGGGATGATTTCCCTCATTATCCATGATTCCAGGGTTCGGTCGAACAGTGAGGTCGTGATCAAATTTACCCAGATACATGACATCATGAGCACTTGAAGACAATAAGCCGTTACTGCGGGGACGGAGCCTGCCTTGTTTAAGCCATTCCCTGACCTCGAAAATTCCAACGAAAAAACACTTGCTTTGACTTACCAAGCCTCATCATCTTTGACATGGCGAATTATGGATAGCAAAAAAGTCTATGTGTCAGCTGGACAAATTACAAAACAACTTGTCAGATCCTCTTAGGCAATATATCCTACCTGGATTTCATAGGCTTGTGGCCCTAACCACGTGTCTCATTGGTTGAGTTCCAATTTCTGTTGAATTCCCAATGTTTGCTGATTTTACCACAATATTATGGATAGATCATACTGATTCTCTACCCAACAGTTCGGCTACTTTGGGATAGCTACTGTACCTCTACCCTGAACTATGATTCCCTTATAATTAAATCCCATTGAACCCCACATTATCCACATTTGCTGGTTAAATGTTTGATGGTTCAAAGTTCAATCATGTCAAATCACAATGTTCGATGATTCATTCATGTCTAATACACATTTTGATGCTTTCTTAATTTAATAATTTCAAATTTCCAATTATTGCCGGAAAAATCCTGCTAAATCCATTTATGAAGTCCCATTTCTTAGTAATGTCAACCCCGGATTAATAAACCATGGTTTATTAATTAGGAGGGTATTCCTCCAATAGTCATAATCTGATACTTAAATGGTACCCTCCCAACTAAACAGCCTAGGGGTTTATTAATCCAGGGTTGACATTACGTAAATTATCGTAAATCCTGTAAATCCAAAAAACAAACCAAGAATCTGACGCCTTATGGCCACCCGCATTCGCCTCGTTGGTGGCAATAGCTGGCCGCGCTCAACATCTGCTCGGCATAGGCCGCGGATTGGCCTTCGAAAAAAGGCGTGGCGCGCTGCGTCCTGGCGATGTCCATGGTGATCTGATCTGGTGGTTTTTCGCCACCCCTCTGAAAAATGATGGAGTTCGTCAGTTGGGTTTATCCTTACCAATATATATATATTATATTATATATGTTATATTATATATATATTATATCATATATTATATATTATATATTATATATATTATATTATATATTATATATATTATATTATATATATTATATATTATATGTATTATATATTATATATATATATTATATATATTATATTATATATATGGAAAAATGAAATTCATGTTCCAAACCACCAAGCAGTGATCCAGTGATCATATTTCACATTCATGGGATTCAACCCAAACATCTTTGGTGACTTAATTACTGTGATATACCTGTAAATTATTTGTATATATATACTGTATATATATATATATGGGATTTCATGGGAGCTAAGAGCTAGTCAAAGTTAAGGGGATTTAACAATGAGAATGTTTGGAGGTATAAAGCAACATTAATCTAGATATATCTAGATATATCTAGATATAGTCGGGATTGAAATAAGGATACGGCTTGGAATATGAGATAAAATGGGATGCCCAACGATGTCAAGCTTAGGAATTTGTCCCCAACTGGCTTGGAGAACCCCTCGCAGCTGGGACAGATTGGGATATTAACCCCAATAACAACCTACTGCAGAGATGGGGATGATGAATCCAAACCTAGGATACCATACTTATCCAATTACCAGCTATCTTGATCTGAAAACCAGTGAAAACCAGTGTTTTGATCCATAGCCATAGTAATATATTACTGGTTGGTGGTTTTAACCCCTCTGAAAAATATGAAAGTCAATGGGAAGGATTATCCCATATATTATGGAAAATAATAAATGTTTGAAACCACCAACCAGATTATATAATATTATATATATAATTATATATATACATATTCTATATAAATAAAATAAAAAGTGAAAAACAGTTGCTGTTCACTAAATAAAGACTACGCACAGGACAATCTGAAGACAATTTACTTTCTGAAATTTTCGATTGCGTGCATTTTTTTCAATTACTGTGGACATCTGTGGACATCTATTGACTAATACTATACTAGTCACTATTTAATTTGTTGATTGCCCCCACTTTCACGAAGCTCGGGGGCCTCTAGTCGTGTAATGCTTGCGCAACCGGAGCCTTTCGGAAAGGGTTCAGCACCACCCAGCTCTTCTTATTCCCAACATCAAGTTGTGTGCACAGTTAAAACCCCTTGTTTTGAACAAGTTTCCAATGGTTTTCTATAGGTTTTCCATAGTTGTCCCACAGGTTTTCAATGGGATTTCCATAGGATTTCACAGGCTTTTCATAGATGTTATAGGTGTCCTCTTAATTTTTCAAAGTGTTTCCCACGTTTTATCCCAGGGTGCCCGCCGAAAAAAAAAAAAAAACGACACCGCTGCCTTCGTTGTCCCTCCAAACGCTCCGCCAGCGATCCGCCCGCGCACAGCTCGGTGATGAGGTAGACGCAGCCTCGGGTCCCAAAAAAAACCTCCAGACATTGGAGAAGATATCTATCTTTACATGAGTTTTTTTGGTTATCATGATTGATTCTGATAGCTATTGTGACTATCAAAATGGTTGTTATATGGTTCACTGGATTGGTGGAAGGGAAAATCTACAGGAAACCATGCTTTTCCCCATCAAATATAGGCTTTTCCTGCAGATTTTCCCTTAAACCAATCCAATAATACATGAGAAATTGCGGTTATCATGATTGATTATGATGGCTATTATAACTATTAATATGGTTATGATGACGGTTATTATGCTTATTAACGACTGGTTGTTGAATGTTCCTAATGATTTATGGGTGGACTTATTGTGGTTATAAGATAATCGTAATTAGTGAGGTTAGCTATATAATTATGGTTATTATGGTTATTATTGCTAAAACCACAATAAACCATCCCCAAAATCATCATGTTTATGGGTGCAATTAAGACCAGCAAAATATGGGTGGTTTTGTGTTTTTGCACTAATATTTTAGTGTGCTTTCAGCACATCCAAAAAAAAATAGTGATGTGTGTTAATCCATAACATCACCATAAATCCATAAATCAAAAAAACAACATTATTTATGGTTGTTAATGATGTATGGTGATGTTATTAGGGCCATTTCATGGAAAATCATGGGGAATCACCTATCATGGGTTGTGGTCATGGGGGGTATTTTTTAACTAACAAAAATGATGGGATAACGGGAATATCATGGGATAAATGTGGGACACCCAATAATAAACCTACCATATTTGGGTGTGTGTGTTTTTTTTTTTCCACCCATAAACATAGTGATTTTGGGGATGGTTTATTATTGGTTTTACCACATGAATGTAGTTTTGTGTGGTTTAAATTCATTCCAAACAGATGCCTGACATCTCAACCAATCATCCCTTTTGTATGGTTCAACATGGTTCAACATGGTTCAACAAACAATAACTATTGTTTATGGTGATTTTGATTGTTATATGGTCATTATAGTTATTAATGGCTGGTTGCTAAATCTTATTGATTATTATGGCAACACATTAGATGTTTAATGCGCTAAACCCAATAATACACCATCCAAGTTAGTAGCTGTTACACAATGATAAACACATGGAACTGACATGAATTTACTACTTAGATATACCGCTGTTCATTACGGTTCGGTCATTAAACAAGGCAAGCTCGGAAATTCCCGAACTAAATGGAGGTTTGAAGCTTGGGAAACCATCTAGAAATTGGGAATTATCCAAAAAATCAGGTCTGATCACAAAAGGGTACCTATACTTATTGCGTAAAGCCTGCAATCTGAACAACCCGCGGGTTGCCACCTCGAATCTTCAGCCTCTAATTTGAGGTGTACCTAGAATTTGACCTCTGCCGTGACTCCTAGAATCCTTTTGCCATCACATTGAGGCAGAAGATCATGGCCGCACATGGCCGACACATCAGCTTTGCTCACTTTGCCCTGCCTAAAATCTGATAATAATGTTCTGCCATCTTGAAGGTTGTCCGGCGCAACGACTTCAGCTTTGGGCGGGTGAAGTTGAAACTTCTGCCTTCGTCAATCCGCTGCGTCTTGTGCTACAAACGGCGACACCGTATTCAAATTAAACCATGCGCCGACTTTCCAATGTCTTACCGGCTTGTCTCTATCTTTGTGCATACATGAAAATACATGTACACAGATTTACGCGTGTAAATGCTTATGTACACTTACTTGCTAGAGGGGATAGTTGGGCCATGCTTTCGGGACAAATCTCATAGACAATTTACCCCCTCTCCCCATTTCAGTGACCTTGGAACAAATTATAGTTGTTTAACATTTGCCCGTACACAAGTGGATAATTGATGTTTAGGGTATACGAATTGATGGTTAGGGTATACAAATAACTAAATGGTTAGGGAATATTCAAATGCACTGGTTGAGTTGTAGCTTGTGATGGTAGTTAACCATGGATTGCGTTTTTTTTTTCTGTAAATTCTACTCAGGCTATTATACCCCAATTTACAACGATTTACCTCAAAAGGTTCGATGTTTTAGGTATACCATCCTGTTTCATCTTTTTCATGTCATTGCGTGTACAGTTATGGCCCGAATACAGTTATAAGTCAGTAAGTCACCCCATTTATGGAATGACACCCCCATTTTATCCAGACCCAAACTCACAGATCAGAGTAGTGAGAAAAGAGCGGTGCTCAATGGAAAAAAATTAATCTGACACCCATTCATAAACATGTACTGTATAAGTATTTATAACTAGTATTTTGGGCTTTAACTTTAGTAGGGAAGGTCATGATTCAGTAGTGAATTTGGGTATCCCTCAGCAAGAAATCGAGGAAATGCCCCATTTTCAGACAGACAGAATGGAATGTGAATGGACATTGAATGGGGAAACCAACCATACTGAGGGGAACCAGAAACAATGTTTACGACTTTACCATTGATCATAATCACTAGTTTTCATAACCTATGATAAAAATGTATAATGGGATTGTAATGGCAATGGGGAAACGAACGGTACTGAGGTTCAATGGATTGGTTTTCAGAACATATTTATAGGAAAACATTGAACTTATTCAAAGTATGAGTACATATATACCTGATGTGATGCATGATGTTTTTTGATCGAGGGTCTAGGAGTATCCCATTGAAGTAGTTGCATGTGTAGATATATGTATATAATCACATATATTATGCATGCAGTATGTGTTTACATGTAATTATCTATATCATTATATATATAGTATACGCTAAATACCATTACACTATACATCTACATATACTTACAAGTAATCAGTTACAATCATAATAATCACATATGCATATAATCATGTACATATATATATATAATTATATATAATATAAAGTTATAAAGTATTAATATAATAAAACTATCTGGTTGGTGGTTTTAACATGTTTTAACCATCTTGAAAAATATGAGTTCGTCAATGGGAAAAATTATCCCATATATCATGGAAAAACACATGTGGTTATGGGTCAAAACCCTGGTACCTAGGTCTAAAATTTCTGGTTGGTGGATGTCTATTCCCCCAAATAAATCGGTTTTGACCCACCACCATGCTTGAAACCACCAACCAGCATATAATTTTCCCGTTTTTCTGTGGCCATTCATCATCCCAGACAGTAATCTCCGAGGAACGCTGGCCGTCGCGGAAGGCTTCGTGCAGGCGCAGCAAATTCACGTGGTCCAGGCTTTTGAGCATGGTCACCTGACGACAAACCGCGGCTTTGAATGGGAAGTTGCCATGAAAAAATGGCTAAAACCCTGGGAAAATCATCCAGACATAGCAACTGTCAAGATTTGTTCGGATACACTGATGAACATAAGTTGAACATTGAGGGCACAGGGAGTATTTGTCTGGGATAGAGAGGGGTAGCTAGAAGGCAGGGCAATGGCACAGCCTCTGTAAAATGTGGATTTGAATGAAAAATCATCATCCAAACATGGGGAATGTATGGGGATATTGTTTAGCTGCTAGCTTGGTAAGGCATACCGCCACCAAATTACCAAGATAACAAGCTCTACCAAGAAACAACAATCTCTCGCAACAGAACATCATCAGAAAAAAAACACATCAATATAATACTCTCATAGTTGTTTCAGGCTGGTTACTGTAGCTACAACATGCTACAACCATGGTAAGTGGGATATTACACCCTATGATCAACCATGGCAATGAGGTTAGAAACCAGATGAAACCAGCGAGCAGTTCTCACTTTGGTGATCCCTTGAAGGGCACCAGCTGCAACCCAACTGGACCTCCAATTCGACCAGCTCCTGAACGGAGGAATGAGACAGGTGAGAGGCTCGTTTCTTCCCAACTAACTACTGTAACCCTTCCGAGCCCGCCAAAAAATGGAGAAAATGGAGGAGACTTGCAAATCCCCAAAAAGAATCAAACAAATACTGGTTGGGCGTATTATTCCCAACTGAATGGAAAGTCATAAAATTCCATTGTTCCAAACCACCAACCAGAATAGAAACGTGTTTCCAGCACCGCACATTTACCACATCCAGGTTTCTCCCCATCGTGACCGTTGCGCTGCCCCGATCTCCTTCAGCTGCTGAGAGCCCTGATCCAAGCGCACAGCTTTACAGGCCCTTGTCTCACCGGTACCTGGCTGAGAGATTCTCCGACCCATGAACACGATGGAACCTGGATGGAACATGTGGGGAGTTTTTACAGGACATGGATGATCCATTGATTTTGTTAAGTGGATATGATCAATGGATTATACATGATTATACATGGTAAATGCATGATTTTCGATGAAGGATACACATCCGGAAAGCTTCAAAAGGTCATTATGGCAGCTAGGGCACCATAGTGTTTCACCTTCAGCACGGTTCCAAAGGCTCCACTTCCCAGATTTTCCTTGGCAGCGGAAAAGTTACGGACTGTTGTTCTGTGAGGGTTTTCGTCGGATTTTATATATATATACATATATATTATATATATAATATATACGTATAATATGATGCGATGAATGAGTCACTCAAAATGATGTCCTATATTTTCATGTCGAAGTTGGAAGTGATTGTTGCCCCCGCAAAAGGATTTAGACCTGTAGAAATCGTTTCGTGACTCTTTGTGGATGACTCACGAGTGGTTCTACCTGCATTTTTTAGCTTCCTTCCGGTAATCAAACATGGCGTGCTGCACAATTCTCCGTTGACAAATGATTTTCCCCGCTATAAACCTCCATGTTCAATATACGTCCTATCATTTTCCTATGGTTTTCCCATATTTTTTTCCCTTTGAAATACCTCCATTGAGGTCGGGGATTTCACAGCCCACCAACACCACGGATTATTGTGCAACAATGCGGCAATACTGAGAATATTATGGAATCCTGTGGCATATTAGAATCGAATATTAATGAATATCGACTACTATTCATGGATATTAATGGTAATAGATCATGGGAATCCATGGTGTCAGGGACGTCCTACTATATTCAAATGTCATTCGTATCAATTCATATACCCATCTATGGTCAGTAGCCGTGTCAACCAAGCGTCACTGACTTCAGGAATCTCATACTCCTCACGAAGCGTGGGAAATCCATGGAAATCCGATTTGTTGGAGAATCCTCTACACAGGGATATCAAGTGGGACTTTTCCGCTGCGACCATAGATAAACCAAGGGATAGGTGGAATGACCTGTGACCGTTCGCACGTCTGTTCTGTTTGAAAGATCTGTTTGGACCGCGTCCATGCGTCCACGTTCCGTGTCAAAACCTAGAAAACGAACTGCAGCTCCTATCCATGGGAATTTCAGGATCCTAAAATGGAGGTACGTTAGTACCATATTTTTGGCCATATTTTCTTGGGATATTCCCTGAAATTTAGGCCTGAAAAATCGGCCCACCATAGATATTAATGGAATCGGTAGCTGCAATGGCTTCCCGGCGTCAAGCCCCGAATAGCTGGGGCCGACAAACGACAAACCATTGGAGATACGACAGCGACCGCTATCAATTTCTTCATGGTCCCAAGTAGAAAAATCCCAGATAAAATATCCCCAGTAAGTACGGCTACCCAGTTATGTGTTTTTCTGAAAAGCGGCTACCGTGTTTTTAACCGACCCTTTATCATCATGTTTTCCACCCCAAGTTCAGTTCCAAACCTCAGATTGTTGGTTGTCGTCACACTTATATATATATATTGTATATATATTCCATCTAAATCCCCAACAAAAACCATATAAATTGCCAGACGTGTTGCATCAATCACCATGGTTTATAATTAGCCATTTTACATCATTTCACGTCTTTTTATCGCCATCTGTTGCTTTCCCCAATGGGCCCGCAGGCTCCATCCCCAGCACCTGCAACATCTGCGTCAGCTCCCGCGCCAGGCCACCCTTGGAAGCAAAGGACATGACTCTGGAGGAGGCACCCAGGTCCTAGCACCGAGAGGTGACACAGTGACCGTGAGGTGAAGCTGGGTTTTGATGGGGGTTTTCTGGAATGGGGGATGGTTTATTTCATGGAAAATCCTATGAACAAAATGGATGATTTGGGGGTAGCCCCTAGTTAAGGAAAGCTCCATATAAGTATCATATTGAATAAGAAGCTGGGAAATTGCTGGGTTGATAAACTATCATACATGTATGAATCATAATATGATATTTGACAACATTTATATAGTATCAATGAGTTGAGTATCATATTATGATATATGTATGATATTAATATATATATATATACAGTATGATATGGAATGAGATAGAACCTGGTATATTGATATAAAAACATAGTATCAGATGGCAAAAGCATTTCTGAATGTGCCACCCTTGGCTCTTTGCAACAGCGCGGCACGGTTTTGTGCATGTGGAAACCGTTCAAGGATTCAGAAAGCATCTGCAGGACACTCCTTGTTTGACAGTTATAACTGGTTATTTCTATGGGATTATACATTCTCTAAATGGGGTTATAAGATGTTATAAGTACTTCTAATTCTAACTGGTATTTCGGGCCATAACTGTTGAATCATGTGATTGAGATCTGAGAGAACTGCCACAGTCTATCTCACTAGACTAAATCCCAGTTCCATACAGTTTTCCCATTCTGTTCCTCAACAAATCCATTTCTACCCCATGGAAATTATCCCATGTCCAATGTTTGGTAACACAAATCCAAGTTTTCGCTGGTTAGCCATCCCCGTGGCGGCTAACATGCGAAACCAATCGTTAAATCACATATTGTAAATCCTGGTTGGTGGTAAAAAATAACCATCTTGAAAAATATGAAAGTCAATGGGAAGGATGACATTCCATATATTGTGAACAATAAAAAAAGGTTTGAAACCAGCAACCAGAATCCGTATAAATCCCATGTTTTCTGAGTTCAATCCCTCAACTTCGCCGGTTCTCCAACCGCACAACCCTGAAAACGTCTACCCGCATCCTTGAGGCCGGACAGTGCCGGTGCAAAGGCACCGGAAGAAGCGCCGGTCGCAGCCGCTGTAGCCGCCTCCATGCAACGGCTGAGGCGAGGCAGGGGTGGTAACCTGCAGTCAAGATGCCAAACAAATCATGCACATGTAGGTTTTGGCACCTGAAAATTGAAAAGCCAACGAAATGAGTTTGGTACCTGAACATTTGGGGGAACACCCAACAATTTGATGGTTGAACATCATTTGTCTTATTAAAACGACCATTTGGGGGGTATACTCCTTTTTGTAGACCCATCCATATGCAAATCACCCTGCTTTTTGCAACATGAGCAAAACAGGGTGGATTTTCTGATTTTCGTTGGTGGTTTTCACGGGTGGTGAAACTGCCATACTTGGTGGTGGAGCCCATTGCTCACAAAAAAAGATGGGGGGTTAATGCCAAGGTTATCCTATCCTCCAAAAAAGAAGCATGGCATCTCAGAATCCACTGGATAAAACCGAGGATCGGATATGCTCTTTTCATTTGATGTGTTTTCCTTTAAAAACCGGATGGACATGCCAAGGTGTGCCTTTGCACAAAGCCCCTGACCTTCATTGTCTTGTCGGCTTGGTCAAACGTGGCAATGAAGAAAAACACATTTCCAATCACTGTATATACTGTATACTGTAGATGATTCTCCCATAGACATCTCCATTTAGTTCAAGCATATTCCAGCTTGCCATGCCTGATGACCGGAGGGTAAGCCCACATCCTTGTTTAACCCATATGCGGGTGGCCGAAAACGTGGGATACATCACTACATTGCAATTTGAACCGGGAAAATATAGAATAACTAACCATCCATCTTTGGGAGTGCCCTATTGCAGACAAACCTGTATGCATCTGTATGCCATCTATAGGAGATTGTAAAATATTCAATCTCACCTGTGCTTGCGTGGGCATCGCCGGCACAGCTTGCGGGGGCAGGTGCGATTGCAGAGTCTTGGCATGATAGTCCAAGGCCTACAAAGCCGATGGGAAACAGCTGCTGAAACTCGACATCTCTTATCCGAAAATGGAGAATTCTTAGCATTTCTCTCTGACTCTTGCAGCATGCATGGCATTTAATCAATGAAAAGCTATCGTTTCAAAATGTGGGGACGTTGTCCAGGGAAACATAAGTCGAATGCGTGAAACTTAAAGCTGTTTTGATGGTACTACTGTGGATGGTTGTGAAATCCTGCACCAGTTGATAGGTGGTTTATTTATGTATCCCATGTTGTTGTTTTTTTCGGGTTTCTTCCCCATCCTTTCGGTGGTGCAAGATTTCGCTGGCCCATCCACAGTATGACAAGCTTTAACCTTCCCGAACATATCTGGGGTGTTTAAATAGCACAATGGAAAGCACGGGTTGACTCATCATCGGTGATTGGGCGGAAAGCTGTGGTCGTATGGTCAGACTTGAACGCAAACCAAGTTTCAAGCCAACATATTTCACGAAATAAGAAAAATATATGATATAGATGATACGTATGTAACATATTTGATCATATTTCATCTATACTTCATCTATGGATGCCAACCCATAAGACATCTTGGCCCCAACTGGTTTTGGGCTCAATGATTTTCATGTGGGCAGATTCCCCCTATCACCAAGGACCAATATGACTCCAGCCTCTGATCCAAGAATATGGGCGACTGTACACTCTACAGTTATGGCCCGAAAAACCAGTTAGAAGTACTTGTAACATCTTATACCTCCATTTATGGTTTATGTATAATCCCATTGATTCATATCCAGTCCAGTTAGTTCACCAATGGCCATAAATCTGCTTGAACTTTAGAATTTCAACCATCGACTCAGCTCCATCAAACATGCCTGGCCTAGTCCTGGCTTTCGCAGAAGTTGAACCAACAAAAAACACCAACAAAACTGGTGTGTCTAAAAATCAAGGACCCCGATTCCATTCCCAGATGAAAATCAATTCATCATTTTGTCCCGCGGACTTGAGACAAACTCAAACATCAAATTGTCGGCTGTACATCTTATCCATATTCCCCTTGAATCCCTGTGATTGCTGGAAGAAAAAACAACATGTTTCCATCATTCATTGGTTTATATCCCCTGGGTTTCATGGTTCAATCCCAGATACAATCCAATAAAAAAAAAATAAGATAAATGCTATTGAATGCCATCTATAAATGCCATCTGCAAATGCCATCTGCAAATGCCGTATAAACACAACATATTTTATTGCCATGTGTTGCACAACGCACCATTCTCAATGCCGAGGTGCCCGCGGCAATGCCGCCTGCAACGAAGCGCTTTGCTTCGCATGGCCTGGGGGGTGCGCTGCGGCACCCCAGTGGGGGCAACAAGATGACTTCACTGGGAAGAGTTTCGATTAAATGCGAGAGGATATATACCAGGTATGCCAACATTTCAAGAGGTGATGGGGTTATACACTACACAGTATATACATTATATAGCAACATGAAAGGGGGTTTCACTTGCCTAACATTTTACCATTTTCTTTTAGGGAAACATTGAAGATTTAACTATAGAGGATGTAAACAAACAATCATGGGGAAATGTGACTTTGAGAACTAAACATGGACTGAAATCGGGTGGACATAGATTTACATCAACGAGGAGAATGGATACCATTTTAGCAAACCAAATGGATTTTTAGGTGTATTAACCATATGATTAAATCCTGCAGGACCATTTTTGGGATATCTCCATCTCGGTGAACCCAAAAAAACGACGACAGTCGTTCCCCCGAAAAAGCCGCAGTTTGTTGAATGTTTGAGGTTCGCCTCTTCAGCCTTTCAATGACTTGGCCCGAGGATTCACAAACAAAACCAAGCAATGGTAAAAACAGTCAGGAAGGGAATCTTGTCGGGGTGAATGGTATAAAATTTATAAAACAACTTGCCTTTTGTAGAGCTTTGCGTAGCTGGTCACCGGGTCAGTTCTTGCTACATGGAGGAAGAAACTGGTTCCCCAATGAACATCTCCCTAAAATGCCAGGTTTGACCTGGATCACTGGGAATGGGCACCTTATTTGCATTGCTAGGGATGTGACAAGTTGATCACGTGCCAAACATTGTGTTCGGATGTGTTGGGTAGCCTTGGCTCTTGGCAGATGTAGAGATTCACCAGCGCTTCAAGGGGAGAACCATTGGTATGTACGGGTTTCCTTGTTTGTTCCCGAAGGCTACCCTTCCGGTCATCTACCAACTGGAGATCCAATGGTAGATAAGATGCAATATGTGGCTTTATTCTGATTAGTCAAGGCGGTTTTAATAACTCATGTGACTCAGGTCATTTTTCCCTTATATAGCAGCTATTCAATTAATATATCAACAGCCAGAAAATGCTATTTGGTTGCCGTGGGGTAATGTGAGCCAGGACTGACGTGGAACGCCCAAATTACCAAGATGTCGCAAACGCTCATTCTCCAAAGCCGCTTTTTGATGCTTCTTGGTGTTCCATGTTGGGTTGTTTTTTTTTAAAAAAAATACCCTCTGGTAAATAAACATAGACCCTGAAAATAACAATTTTTACTGTAATGGAAACTAATCTTCCAACCCCTATCTGGCAGGGTCTATGTTTACCAGAGGGTAATGATCAACCATTGTATGTTCGGTTTGTCCCGTTTTCCCATGGTATTTTCATGGATTCATAGGATTTGCTGCCATGGATGGTGACAATCCCCAATATAGTATATTGATATATTGGATAGTATATAAGCCTAAACAATATGACTAATATAACCAGTATATAACATACTATATGATGTTTAGTTGGACAATCCCCAAACAATTATGTATGATCATCACTAAACATCATGACCATCACTTAACAAATGTCTTGAGTCCACTGCTCCAGCTGCCGGCGTCGCGCCTCGCAGCAAGGGCTGGAGTCCACGCAAGACGAAGGCTTGAAACTCGTGGAAGAGCAGCAACCCATCGAGATCTTGATCGCTCTCCTGATGTGACCGGGCGAATGTGCGCCTTCTACGTATAGGCTAGGGTTGTTTGTGTGTAAATATGTACATATACTCTATTTATATATGTATATATATCTAATGATTTATATTATACATATTCTTGAAATAAAACTGTTAGTGAACCAAGGCCATTTTGGGATATTTACCCCAATTCTATCCATTCCAAACCATCATTCCAGTGACGTCACAGTGAGGTTGTCATAATATATCCATGGTATATACAGAGCTATCACTGGCTAATCTCAGAGAACCTATTATCTACTGGTAACGCTTTGATTTCAGAGAAACTCTGCAAGGTATCCTGTGAACAAAGTGTTTACCAACATGAAAAAAGGTGAAATTAATTGAAATTATCCTGTGAAATGTTGTTTGATGTACTCCATGGGGGGCAACGCAAAGAAACATCGCTCCAAGAAAGGTGAGACCTGCATTACTGGATCCGAAAGAAAATCCAGATGAACAAAATATGACAAGACGCAAGAAGGAATAGCAACATACTTGCACAAGGTTGTGATGTGCGCATATATTTGGATATGAATATAAAACTATGGAAAATTATGTGGATATGACAGATGGATGACTAGTTCCCTGCATCAGGATATTTTCGGATGTCCAGAACATAAATATCAATATCAATAAATATCAAGTACAACAGTTAGTTAAATTTACAGAACTCTTCAGAACCAAAAAACACCTTTTCACAACACGACCGAGAATTGGAAAGGGGTGTAATCCCAACTGGAAAATCACCATCATCGAAGCAAATGATGGTTCCCTAAAATGGGGTTCCAAATCATCCCAAGTCATGGATGACCATTTTACACCATGACTTACTATTGAAACCCATCCCCCAAAGGGATCCACATCAGGTGCAATGATAAACCATTTGAGGTAATTATTTCCAACATGCTTTAACCATACTCAATTGGGTAAACCAAATGATACTCATTATATACCCCCAAGTGTATGGTTCTAATCACACCAAACATGATTTATTGTTGTTGTGGCATGAATTATACATATTGGGACCCCTACATTCTTGAAACTGGAGACGTCAAGTACGGTGTATTACTGGTCTCTTCATGGATTTCAAGTAAGTTCCACTCATGAGTTAGGTAATTGATACTATTTACTATTTATAGTAATTGACTATTGACAGTAATGACTCAATGTGAAAAATACTATGAATATTGATCCAACCTGGATACTTAAATAATGTCAAATACTTAAAAAAAAACAAACAATTTTTGTGGGTTCATTGGTGCATGTGCCAATGCCACAGCCAAGCTTTAAACGGAGACGGATGATAAACCAATGGATTCGGGTTTTGCCATTTTTCACACACACCCAAATATCAAATCGTAGGTGAATATTTAAGTGATTTATCCATAATTATATCCTGTTTCATGTCCATTACATTCCGATTCTATCTCTGGGATGTATGTATGTATGTATGTATATATATATATATGTGTGTGTGTGTGCCATGGTGGAAAGATTGTATATTGTGGTATGGTCATCAATGGCCATCCATCCCGTACCAGTAGTACCGCACAAGGCAGCGGCGGAAGTTTCAACGATAGGTTACTATAGGAGAGGTGAGTTGCTGATGCATGGATGGCAGAGCGAATCCACTGATGGACCGAAAGGTGGTTGGAGTTGTGCTTTTTGGAGTGGTTGCAATGGTTGCAGTGGTCACCTCACTCGCAACTCCTGGATGTAGTGTGGTATAGGTGTAGTTGTAGCTGTAGTGGGGTTGATGTTGTTGAAGTTGTAATGTTGTAGTTGTGGTTTCAGTTGTAGGTGCAGTTGTAGTTGTAGTGTAGTTGAAGCGTAGTTGAAGTTGTAATGTAATTGCCTTAATCGTAGTATTGTAGTACTGTAGTTGCAATAGTTGTAGGAGTTGTAGTTGTAGATTGTAGTTGTAACTGTAGTGGTAGTGTAGTTGTAACTGTAGTTGTAGTGTAGTGTCGTGGTAATTGTTGCTGTAGTAGTGTAGTTGAAGCTGAAGTTGAAATGTAGTTTTAGTGTAGCTGAAATTGTAGTTGCAGTTGAAGCTGTAGTTGCAGTTGTAGCGTAGTTGTCGTAGTTGTTGCAGTTGTAGTTGTAGTTGAAGTGTAGTTGATGTTGCACTTGTGGTTGTAGCTGTAGTTCTTGTAGTTGAAGTGTAGTTGAAGTTGTAGTTAAAGTGGTAGTGTAGTTGTAGTTGAAGTTGTAGTGTGGTGTAGTGCAGTTGCAGTTGTCTACCTATCTGTCTATCTGTCTATCTGTCTATCTGTCTATCTATCTATCTGTCTAATCTAATCTAATCTTATCTTATCTTATCCTATCTATCTATCCATCTATATATCTATCTATCTATCTATCTATCTATCTCTATCTATCTATCTATCTATCTAACTATCTAACTATCTAACTATCTAACTATCTATCTATCTATTTATCTATCTGGTCTATCTATCTACCTATCTATCTATCAATCTATCTAATCTAATCTAATCTATCTATCTATCTATCTGCCAGTTTGAAACCGAAGCTATTCTGCGACACTTCCTCAACTTTTGAATTAGACAACGTCGAAAACACAGCAATTCTGCGAGACCTCCTCAAATATTGAAGTTGACAACATCAAAAGCGAAGAAGTTCTGCGAGACGTCCTAATTATCTCAATTTTCGAAGTTGACAACATCAAAAACGAAACACTTCTGTGAGACTTCCTTCGAAAATGGAAAGTTGAGTGCAGAGCTGACAGCCTCGTACCAATCCGTTTTGCGATTTTTCCAGTCCACCTGTCGAAAGTACTGCGCCTGCCACGAAAAAGTGATGCCAGGTCATACGAAGTGCTGCACCTGTCACGCAAAATCATCTCAGCAAACCTGAAGATCTGATGCTCCAAAATGCAACCTCTCTCAGGAAATCAGCGCCCTGACCTCTTAACATCTCTGATGAACAGATCTCTGCACTGCACCTGCCACGCGAATTGCATCTTTGCAGATTCTCTGTGATGAATTAGTTAATCAATTAACTAATTAGCTATTTAATTAGTTAGTTAGATTGGTAAATTAATTACCTAATTAATTATTTAACTATTAACGAACTAACTAACGAACTAACTAACTAAGTAACTAACTAACTTACTTACTTAACTAACTTAACTAACTTAACTAAACTTAACTAAACTGAACTAAACTAAACAAACTAACTAACTAACGAACTAACTAACTAAGTAACTAACTAACTAACTAACTAACTTAACTAACTTAACTAACTAACTTAACTACTAACTTAACTGCACTAAACTAAACTAAACCAAACTTAACTAAACTAAACTAAACTAACTAACTAACTAGCTAACTAAACTAACTAACTAACTAACTAACTAACTAACTAACTAACTAACTAACTAACTAACTAACTAACTAACTAACTAACTAACTAACTAACTAACTAACTAACTAACTAACTAACTAACTAACTAGTGAATATATACATATATATATATGTGTGTGTGTGTAATATATACGTGTGATATAGTAGGAATCTAACGGGGGATACCTCCCTCTCCTCTGAAGCTTTGTCTTCATTGCTGTTTTTACTTTCGGATGGGTCAACAAGACCTCTTGCCGATCCAGATGTGTTGATAAACCCCAAAAAACCAATCGCTGTAGGACTCTTGCTGATCCAGATGTGTTGATAAACCCCAAAAAACCAATCGCTGTAGAATCATTGTCTACCGCTGTTTCGGAACAGAAAAATTAGTCTGAGAAAACACTGGCAACACATTCAACTGATAGTGCTTCCCTCACATGCCGGGCAAAACGCGCATTTCAGCTGCGCTGACGAAAGCCACTCTCTTCTCTTCGACAGGCGTGCGGTAACAGTGTAGCTTCACAGGGCCTGTCAATGCAAGAAAGAGCCGCCTGGAAGGCTTTGAAAAGTAGCCCGATCTGTCGGCTGGCGACACAGCAATGATTGGATAAGGGCTTTGAAATCATCTTCCTCAAAGTCCTGGTAGGTGGGAAGGCCTGCAAAATCATATAGTACCACATTGTAAATATCAAAAGGCAGGCCTTCTTCGTCTGAAAATGGCATCTTGCCTGTATACCAGTAGTACAAGCAAACACCAAAACTCCAAAGATCTGCGGCAAGGCCGTAGCCAGGCGCTGTCCATCCTCCTGTTGATGCGCATTATTTCTGGGGCCAAGTAATGCGCTGTGCTTTCCTTCAGCACTGTAAGATGGCCGCTAACAATCTCGGCCATGCCAAAATCGATGACTTTCAATGTCCGACTTTGGTCAACCATGACATTGGTGCCTGTGAGATCAAAATGACCTATGTCATGACTGTGTCGAAAATCCATCACCAGAACAATGCAAGAAGCGAAGAAGCGAAGCCCATCAAAATAAAGATCATCTGACACTTCATTGAAAAGTGTCGCCTCTAAATTTTAGCCAGAGGTGAGCTCTGTGACCATCAGAAGTTTGGCTTCGTGGAGGAAACAGGCGTACAACTTCAGGATGCCCGGACGCTCCACCCCCGCCAAGTAGGAGAGGATCTCCACCTCTTTTGGCGCTGTGCAGTCCTGGCGGCACGTAAGTTTGACAGCTACCTGGCTGCCACAGAAGATTCCCCGCCGAACGGTGCCGAACGCCCCATTTCTCCATCTTGCAGCTGCAAGTTCACCTGCTGGAGGTTTTGAATTTTTTGGACGCTTGGGGCCCAATGCTTACACCTTTCCTCTTGGCCGGGATGCTAGCAACTTTGGCAAACCATTCTTCAGCTGGGACGATCTGCAGCATCTGGTGTACCCCGGAGAGTCTTGTCCTGGGAAAATATCCTGGTACCCTGACCTTTCCAACTAGAATTTACATTCTAGGGCCAATGAAGATTGCAGGCACTAACGTCCTGATGCCTAAGGTTTCCAGAAGGGCATTTATTCCCCTCTGATATCAAATAAATTCCTGGGTGCCACCCCTCATACAATGCTCAAAAAACAGCCCCTAACATATGCTGTTGCTAGACAAATTTTCTGGGTTGCAAGGATCACAACTTTAGCAAGCAACCCGCGCCTGGAACATCTTAAAACGCCGATCCGAACGTTTCCAGCTCACTTTTTTGTTGGTGAAGCTGAACATATGTGTTTGTAGTTCGCACCCTTTTGCAGGGACAAATGTATCTTCAGCAAAAACAAACACGAATTTGCCTCATCATGTCCTATGGGTGAAGGTCTACGGTGGGGCCTCATCAAAAACTGAGGATTGGCCTGGTGATGCGGCCTTTTTCCTGTAGGGCCAACCTTTGAAGATCATCCACAAGTATTCAGCCAAAAAAGACCACCTGCGCCTCGACCTCTTCAAGTCACTTTTTTGTTGGTGAAGCTGAACATATGTATTTGAATCCTTTTGCAGGGGCAACTGTATCTTCAGCTCTACACGCATTCCATGGTGGCATATTTTTACTTGTAATCACTTTTGTAATTTCTGACCTGGAGCGCCAGGAACAAAATGAGCAGTGCGGCCGGTGATGCTATTGTCCCAAAAATAAACACTAGACATGGGTGGGGTTACTCCATTCCAGACACAAACCCAATATCCAGCTAACTGTGTCCAAAAAGTACTGGAAAAGATTCCTTTTCTGATGTCTGACTATGTAAATCTAGCACTGTAACAGTACCAACAAATCCTTGTTCCCAACCTCGTGAGTTCATGTAAAGAAAAACATACCCCCTCAAACAATCATGGGTCATTTTTTCCCGGCGTTTGGCATACAAATATGTTCGGGTGAACTCACCCCCCATGAACAACGTGACAAAGTTATTTTCCTGGTGCCAGACGTTTGCACACAAAAAGAAATATTTTTGAACCAAAATTTCTGTCCTGGGTTCGAAGGGACGCATAGATGTAGCATTTGCAAATACACACCCAAGCAGGCACGTCCCAAACTCACCAAACACTTGACACAGGGCTGCTGCATGTTACAACCACGTTTTTCATGATAAACACAGCAAGACCGCTCAACTCACTGGGCTCAATAGACTCCACGCCGCTTTAGCGAGCCTACTTTTCGACCCTCCGGCGCCACAAATCATTGGAAAAAAACACAGTGTTTCGCGACTTTCCTAGCTTTTCACGCACCTGCATCTTCTTTCTTCTGACTCTTTCTCTTCTCTGATCGTCTCTCTTCTTCTCTTCTCTTCTCTTCTCTGACTCTTCCCACCTCTGCTTTTGCAACTGTCCATATTGTCGGAAGTTTGACTTCTAAACTTCCTTCGAATAAGGGGAAGCCAAACATGAAGGTTATAGATCCCTATGAGGAGTTGATCATCACTGGATGTTTTTGTTCTCCCCATGTCTCCAAGGCGCCGAAAAGATGCGATCCAGCAGGGCTCCCTGCGACGCCACAGCGACGCCGCAAGGGAAGAGCCGTAGCACCACCTGGAGGCGTTGATAGCACGCGATAGCGAACAGGTGACGTGAGGCTGAAACAGACCACATAATGATCAAGAAAGGGGACATCTTCGAAAAGTGACAATGTTGGAACACACCAAATGAAACAAACTAATCTGGTTGGTGGTATACCTACCCCTCTGAAAAATGATGGAGTTCGTCAGTTGGGATGATGACATTCCATTCCCAACTGAATGGAAAATCATAATCCAGCCACATTCCAAACCACCGACCAGTCATATGTTGTATAGTTTAGTTGCTTTGAAGCTCCCGTGGACACCGTAAAACTTGCTTCAGCTTCTGTTGCCGAACTTGACCGTGCTGGTTGCTGACATCCCATAAAGGGCATCCACGACGCGTCATTCAGACTCTCAATACGACAAGGTATCCATTGATGACGCGTATTGAACAAGTCATACCGTATTTGAGAATCATTTATCCATTGGTATAACCATCATTGTATTTATCCATTGTTTTTCTTTTGGGCATTTGTTTCAACAAGTTATCTTAGATGGGTAAATGTGTGGGTTGATGATACATAATGAGACATACAATACTGTAACTCAATCAAATGGTTTCAATCCCCAAGTTCTTGTCATTGGTACTTGACGTACCACGGCAGTTCCTTGGGTAGGGATCTCTGATGACCAAAAAGCATAAACTGATTTAAGCAGAATCCCAAAGTTGGATGGTTCTGTCACTCCAAATCATTTTTTTGCATGGTTCGGCCTGAATTCATTTGAGATCGCTACGCACTGACATTTCGAACAGTTCTATTTCTTCAATTTTCTTAATTTCTTCAAATCAGTTTGAATAGGGTTGTCTGAGAAATGACCATCCATAAAATCAAAAAAGCTCCTATGAGAATAGCCAAAGTTTGGTCAAAACTCATCTTCCAACCCCCCTTATTTGGCGGGGTCTATGCTACCCTCCGGTAATCAAACATGGCAATGGAAAACTCCCTCATTTGATGTTTCCATTCAAACCTCCAGTGATATCAATTATAAATCATCATGTTTTCCCAGCCAAGGTCCAAGGTTTGATGACCGAGGGTTACCATTGGGGGGGCGGTTAACATCGTAGCTCCGCTCCCATGGCACCTGCCCAAAGGCCTTGTGGCACTGTGCCGCATCGAGAGCGCCCCGATGCAGCAAGCGGTCCTCTGGCGGACGGAGGGGTCACCTGGACTAGGGAGGGGAACCATAGAGCTTTGTGGTTTGGATAGAGTCAGAACCGGGTACCCCGTGTCAAACCTGGCTGGAAAATCCATGAAAATGAAGGTTGTAACGGAAACATCATCTAATGTGAGAGTTTTCCATTGCCATGTTGAAGCAATGATGTCTAAAATACTTATCGGCCAAGAAACAATGGGGAAAAATTGTCGACTCGTGAATGGGTGCTGAAAAAGGAGATAACAAACAACTACAGTACAAAGCATCAACCAGGAAGAATGACTCAATCTTGGGGAAGCTTGGGGCATGCTGTGAGAAACCCCACAATGAAAGATCAATATCTTCACCATGTTGCAAACCTGATGGTCCTGGTTCGATTGTGCTGGGAATATCTATAAGAAATGGGAGGGCCGGATAGCTGTAGGTTGTAAGAAATGTGTCGCAGGTGATGATTATGACGGTCAGGGTTATCATAATGATAATCATCGCTGATCATAATCATCATATTATGATCTAATATCAATCATAATAATCATATCACGATTGGTTATAATAAAAAGACCAAACATATAGATATTGGATCATGATCATAATTGTCACTTTCAAAATACCATCTGGTTATTTAACATAGCCATGGACAATCACCATTTTTAGTAGGTAAACCATCTATAAATGGGCCATCTATACCATGGCTATGTTAAATAACCAGATGGTACCATATATTAATGGATCATAATCACCATCCCTCACTTTCAGCATGGAGGATGAAGTCTATCCCAGGATTCACATCGAGGATGGACATTTCTTTCAGTCGTCCATCCTCATTGCTGGAAGCCCGGGAGGAAGTCAACATGTTAAAACCCCAAATAACGGTTATAAATGGTTCTACCATCTGGCTATTTAACATAGCTCTGGAAAATAAGCCATTTATAGATGAATTATAATTATGATGATTTACTGATTAAAAATGATGATTTTCTATGGCTACGGTAAATAACCAGAGGGTAAATGGAGTTATCATTCCTCATTCCATAGATTCGATTACTGACTTATAACTGGTATTTCGGGCAATAACTGTATTAAAGTATGTTGATTCCTTCGCAACCCCTTCAAGATGATAGACAGGACCTTGACACCTGGATTGTTTGTTTTGTGTAATTCCCAGAACAATGAGCAATGTTCAAAACCATCGGTCATTCCGTTTTACTGGTTACCAGGAGTTCCAAGGATGGAGTATGATATTCCAATATACACAACCCCGAAACCAAGGACGTTGAACACATATCAATGCGTTTGGTAAATTCAATCATATCCCAAGTAAATCCCCAATATATATATATATATACTTACATATATCCCTATTTTTGTTGGTGTAGACAAATCATCAATCGGGCTGAATTATCATAATTCACTAGCCTGAAAGTAGCTGAATCTCCCGACTAACCATCATTCCAGTGACTCACCACGTCAGATCAATATAATTCATCCAAACATACATATATACATATTACACATTTGATTCATTTGATTATATAATTCATTGGTTTACATTCCCATATATTCCCATGCCATCTGTGCTGGTAATTTCCCTATTCTTCATGCTTCACTTCCATGGAAATTCCTGAATTCTCCCATTCCAAGTCGCGCCTGGTGCCGGAAGGCGCTATCGCAGGCCTCCGGCAGCCCCGCCGGGATGCGTAACTCTTGGTCCTCCGGCCAAAAAACATCCCACGAATCGTAAGTGCCTTATCATCCATATATCACCGGTATTTCATCCCATATATGACTGGGGAGATTCATAAGGGGGGGTAGAACCAATCTACTAAGTGGGATGCGCGCCCAAATGGGGATTGAACGACGATTTAAGGGGTTTTCATGGTGATTTAATGGTGAGTTCGCGGGTTTCTAAATGGGACCTAGTGGCCCGGAATACCAGTTATAAGTCAGTAAGTAACCCCATTTATGGAATGTATCATCCCATATAAAATCATTTTGTAATTGGTAATAAAAGGGCTTTAGCAATATAGTTATGTATGTGTTTGTAAAACACGGGGATCTAACCATGATCTAAGAAACGTCAATGCCGAAACCCAAAGCCCAAAACACCCGCAGCGTTTCCTGCACCCAATCAGCTACCGTCAAACAGATGGAAAGCAGCTGCAGTTATGGCTATGGCTATTACGGCTATTAGTTACAACTGGTTATAAATGGGATTATACATTCATATACATTCCATAAATGGGGTTAGTTCAGTACTTGTAACTGGTATTTCGCGCCATAACTGTGGATACCCAGAAAAATCCATAAATGAGTCTACCCTTCCATGCATCAGCACTATGGTTAATGGAAGATTGTTATATTTGATCATGTACCAGCTTGAATTTTGAGTGGAAGTGTTCAAACAAAAGAGTGCAGGAGTGCAGCCAATCCAGTTTGTTTCAAAAGAATCAACCGACCCTGAAGGCCATACATGAAACTAGCCACTGCACTAAGTGCTGAAGATATTTCACAAAAACAGAATAACAATACGTTTCAATTACCTTATTCTAACATAAACTAACCATGCCTCGAACTAACCGTCAAAAATAAGATATTTGATGATTTTGGTGTATTTCTTAATTTTCAAAATCACCAGGCCCAAGCCTTAAAAACACGGCAAAACAGCCATCGTCTCGATCTTCTGGGGATCACCATCCATGAACAGGGTCATTCTGAGATTTGAGAAATCCAACGGTTGACCAATGGCATTGGTCAAATTGGAAAATCAAACTGTAAAATTAAGGATAATCATCATATGGCAGTGTGTCAAGAGCCTGGTACCCCTTCTGTTCACATCAAAATAGCTGGTAAATGGATGTTCATCCCACTAAAAATGGTATCTATAGGTATTGACCCATACCCATATGATTATCATCAGCTTCATTTGATGAACATGTAAAAACATCTATTAGGCACTTTGGGGTGCACCTAGCACATGTTTTGATACTGTAAACCCTGTGCGGGAATCTCAAGAATTCTCAAAATTAATGCCATGACTTTCTTTTTCGCTGTCAGTTTTTTGTTTTTTTCGAGATTTGGCTTTGAGTCTTTATCATCAAAAAGTTACTTTGTTGAACATCATGTTCAAGCTTTGGAACACTGCTACCACCCTTCCCCCACCAAAACAAACGAAGCTCAAAATCTTCGAAAAAAACAACCTCAAAGTCTTCGAAAAAACAATACCTATCACAACATGTATGTGGCTTCATAAAGTCTATCAACCCATTGTAAGTATACTTATATTCCCCAGAAACCCTGGAATTCACGCTTGTTTTTCCACCCAAACGTCCCAGGCGCAGGTTGCCTTCTGCGTCTTGTGGTGTCGATGCCACTTGGGTCGATGTGTGGGGCTGGTCTCATAAGACTCATGCAGATCCTGACGTGGAACCCTCGGACACAAAGTCTGCGAAGTGGAAAATCACCATCTGAAAAAGCAAACTGTGGTAAATCACACATGTGGTAAATCACACAGGTCTAAACTTTAAATAGTGGTAAATCAAATGTCTAAATTGGCCATTTTCAATAGCAAACTGTTAGTCATTACCAATGGATATGGCCATGGCTATTAGTTATAACTGCTTCTCTCTATCCCATAGGATCCATGTATGGTAAATATGCTAACATTGGGGGTATATTGATGGTAAATGTTACCATATATAGCATACATGGATCCTATGGGTATGGGAGGTATACATAAACCATAAATGTCGATCCACGGGGGATTCTTCAAAATGACATTTTTGAGGTGCTTCAGTGACCCTTTTTGGGCTAAAGTGACCCCTTTTTTGGTGGTTGAAAGGTCATTTCGAAGAACCAAGCACATGTGTGGTGATTTCTATGGTATTTCTAAGGGATTTCACCAAACAAAATAGGAGTATACCTCATTTTCAGACAAACCCCACCCATCCAAAATTTGGTTTTAACTGTTTTAACTAGCAAAATTGAGGGATACCCCATACAGGAATGGGGCCCTGAACGATAGGCTAACTATTTATGTCCATTTCAACGGGCTCTCCGTTGAAACACGGTGGTTTCGAGTCGAACGGACAGCATATGGGGCTCAACATCAACTTACAACTGGTTGTGTTATATTTAACACGATTTTTAACTTTCAACTTGCAGCAATTAGATGGTGGTTTCTGAACCATGTGTGTTGTATTTAGCTTTATTTGTGAGTTTTGTGAGAACATTGTGAAGTTTCTACCCTGCATCAAAGGGTTTATGCCCTTTACATGATGAAATGTGATGCAATCCCATATGCTCCATGCATGGTAATGGTATATATATGTATATGCGACAGTGGGCAAAATCATGTCCTTGTGTGAGCTGGCTGATTACTGGCTTTATCACATTTGAATACGTTTAAAACAAAATGGTTTTCTTAGTGTGAATCATATCTTGACAGATGGTTTATAGAATGCAAATCCTATGAAACATAAGCCTCATCAATCTATTTGTCATGGTTCTTGTGAAAGAAGACATAGAGTCAAACATAACTGGTTGGTGGTTTCAACCCCCTTGAAAAATATGCTCGTCAGATTGGATCATCATCCCAACTATGGGGAAAAATAAAACATGTTCCAAACCACCAACCAGATAAGGTTGTGCGGAAACTGGTTAGAATTAGGTCGATGGGGATCTTCCAAGTAGGGCTCAGGCACTGAGAAAATTCCAGGCCATTTGGCATTTTTTTAGCAGCGCTCAAATCATCGTTTCATTTATACTGCTTGGGTCAGTTATGGCCCGAAATACCAGTAAGTCAGTGAAACAACACCATAAAAATAGAATGATAAACGCATAGAAATAACATGAAATAACCATTTATGATTTTGGTAAAGGGCTTTAACTGCAATGGATTTTTACATAATCCCCAAGTGATACTCGACAGGAATGATCCCCCAACTAATTAATCATCAACCAATAGACCAACAAATAACAGAGGTGTGGCAACCACTGCGAGCAGTGTCTGCCAGTTTTGCAGGGCCTGCACGTTGGTTGGTGCGAGTCACCCATATTCCGGTGACTCATCATTTGATACCCAGAAAACATCCCGCTGAAAATGACAGGCGTCTCTGACCCGCTGAATCCTGCAAAACCCAAACATCTTGGAGCGGTTCATCCTTATACCCAGCAGACAAGCAATCTTGCCCTTCAACATGGCTGAGGATAGCCTTATGATGTTCGTTCATGTCTGTTCCATTGTGTGTTGCAAGACACATTTTCCTAGGGTAAACTAGCACAGACGCGGAAAATCATCATTTTCTACAGGTAAATAGATCATCTATAAATCTAAATCTATAAATGTGCCATTTTCCACATCTATGTTAGCTGACCCCAGGGTATTCCCCCCCACAAAAAGAAACCACTTTGCAAGAAGAACGGCCCAGCACACCTCTGCCGCGCTGAGCCGTCCAAGGGCCGATTCCAATATGTCATAGTCACAGAAGTCAAAAGTAGCAGTTCATATCATACCCATATGCTCCATGTATGGCATATATGGTAACATTGGGGGCATATTGATGGTAAATGTTACCATATATAGCATACATGGATCCTATGGGATATACCAAACACATCCCGTAAAACTGGTCAAACTTTGATGCCAAAAGTGAAAATTGTCCTACTGTGCTGCAGCAAGAAAGATGGATGTCTGTAGGCCACTGTAGGCATTCCCAATTTTCATTTCTGTTGTCCAGTTCAATCCTCTTAACTCTCCCGTGGCAACGCTTCCAAATACTTCACACCTTTTCCTGCGACCGCAGAACTCGCGAGTGTAAACTCAGCTGCTGGAGCGTCCAAGGGACGTTGGATTGGGGTTTCCTTTATCGGAATACCTACACCATATTTCTAAGTTCAGCGAATTGGAAGTTTCCCATGGAATGGAAAAAAAAAACAAATTTGTGGATGGTTTGTAATGGAAAAACCTCTATTTTTTGTTTTTTTTTTTTTAGGTAGCACCATTTTAGGAAGCCTCAAATTCAAACATTCGTTGCTACTTTCAACCCCTTCCAACTTACAAAAAAACCAGCGGCTATGACAGCTGAAAAGGGCCACAGTCACCAGATCCCACAAGTCTACTCGCGGGTGTCATCAGCTCCATAGCAAGCTGGAAACTTACCGCGGCCTCAAATTGTTCGGCTTTCGAAGCATCCCACCGCGTGAAAAATTGCGGTGTATCCCAAAAGGACAAGCTGGGTTCGCTTCGCTCTGCACGGTTTGAAAATTCACAAGGTGTACATCATCCCTTCTCCCACATAATCCTTCTTCCACATCCCCCAGAAACCGCTGTTTAGTTTTATGTTGTATATATTAGTATACATATATCATATATATCTATACACATGTTTGAGGTTCGACATAGGGAAGAACACATTGTTACAAGGTGGTGCCCCCTAGTTATACCTTGGTCTGTTGGTCTATCACCACCGGAACTTCTCCCCTGATTTGCTGTCAAAAGTGCCAGTCATAGGTCAGTTATAACTTATAACCCCTTTATTCAATAATAACGCAATAGAAATACGCATTTATTACAATTTACACCTGGTAAAAAGCTTTTAGTGTTGGAAGATGAGATGATGAGATGAACACAGCAACTGCAGCCGAATTGCTACAGCCACTCTACGGCATGAAAAACTCGTGTACGCCAATGGCAGTGTCACGGATGTTTTAGTTGTGGTCTCCTTTTTCGGAAACCCAAAAGGGCCAAGTCCAACATCTAGTATACTCTATGTCATGGACACTGCTTGTTTCTTGCAATTCATTCAAACTTAAAATTAATCCAGAAAATGATCATGCTATCGGAGGTGCCCGATTACGAATCACAAAATACTTGAAATTGCCAAGCAGTGCCAAGCAGTGTAGCACCTGGTCAAGCGACCCAGCGCCGAAACTTGGCGGATGGTCCCTCTGCGGACAATCTGGGTGTGCTTCCAGGCTGGAATGTGCCAAAAGTGGCAACCATTTTCGGACACCGCCCTCAAATGTGGCTTGGGCTGCTTGGGGAACAACATGGAACAACCTCTTGCAACTTGAAGTCTCCGTGTTTCTTTGTCCCGGCAAAATGGATGATTCGATTCGTCGACTCCTGTTTCTTGAATGAAACTCTGAGATCGCACAAGTTGTGTCCCCACTAAGACCCACGGGGTCATCAGAAAATTCTGAACTTAGTTGGATCATTTGAATTCATTTGGCCTCACTGCTTTCCGTGACCTCATTCGCGGCTTCCGTGACCTCAGTAGCAAGGCTGCTCTCCGGCCAGGATGAGAGATCGGACGCCAAGCGCCGAAGATCGGACGCCAAGCGCCGAGGCTGAGGACGCGAAGGTTCCAAGGATAATGCAGTGATCATGCGTGCAGCTGCGAGGCGGTCTGCACTCGGGCTCGGAGCTGGAAGATTTCCTGGGATCCATATTGTTTTGTTTTACGAATTGGAAAAAATCGATGGGTTTAGTCTGAAAGATCGGGTTTTCCAAGATTTTCCAGTTTATCATCTTGCTCCCTATCAAATATTAGATATAGCTTAGATAGCCATTGGCATGCCCCATTTCCAGACACACCCACCCCATAAAACTAACATTAACTCGCCATAATTAACTAAGCACTACTCTGATGTTTGGGCTTGGTACCTGAGAATGTGAATTGATCCCCAAGTTTTGAAGTTATGAAAATGTTGCTGGATAAATTATGTTCTACACCCATCTACATCCTATTTTCAAACAAACCCAGGTTGAGGCAAGATATGTCCGAAAAGTCTGGGAGTTCACCTATAAGGGCAACTGGGATCATGTTTATCCATCTTTATGGAGTGGACAGTGGACTATAAACGATCAAATTGGATCAAATTGGAAACATGACCCAGGTTAGATACCCTATATGTATATATAAATATATATACCAACCAGATCCCACAAGTCTACCAACCAGATCCCACAGGTCTACTCGCGGCTGTCATCAGCTCCATAGCAAGCTGGAAACTCACCGCGGCCTCAAATTGTTCGGCTTTCGAAGCATCCCACCGCGTGAAAAATTGCGGTGTATCCCAACAGGACAAGCTGGGTTCACTTCGCTCTGCACGGTTTGAAAATTCAAAAGGTGTACATCATCCCTTCTCCCACATAATCCTTCTTTCACATCCCCCAGAAACCGCTGTTTAGTTTTATGTTGTATATATTAGTCGAAGGAAGTTTAGAAGTCAAACTTCCGACAATATGGAGAGATGAAAAGCAGAGCAGGGCAGAGGCACAGAGAAGAGGAAGATTAGAAGAGAGAAGATCAGAAGAGAAAGAGTAAGAGGACAGACGCTACAGATGCGCGAAAAGGTAGGAAAGTCGCGAAACACTGTGTTTTTCCAATGATGTGTGGCTCCGGAGGGTCGAAAAGTAGGCTCGCTAAAGCGGCGGGTGCGGAGCCAGCTGGCCACAGGAGCGATGAAAAATTGCACGCCGTTGTGGCGCGAAGCACATTTCCAAGTCAAAATGTACAAAACACCAGGGGTTCGGACCACTTTTGGAAGTTGCGATGTCGAAAAAGTGCACGCCGTTGTGGCGCGAAGCACATTTCCAAGTGAAAATGTACAAAGCACACCATTCTCGGACCACTTTTGGAAGTTGAGATGTCGAAAAAGTGCACGCCGTTGTGGCGCGAAGCACATTTTGAAGTCAAAATGTACAAAACACGTCAGTGTCGGACGACTTTTGGAAGTTGCGATGTCGAAAAAGTGCACGCCGTTGTGGCGCGAAGCACATTTCCAAGCCAAAAGTGTTAAAAACTGCACTTTTGGAAGTTGTGATGTCGAAAAAGCGTCGAAAAAGTGCACGCCGTTGTGGCGCGAAGCACATTTCGAAGTCAAAAGTGTAAAAAACTGAGGGTTTTGAGCCTTTTTCGACGTGAAGATGTCGAAAAAGTAGACACTGATTAACTTAACTAACTTGACTAACTTAACTAACTTCACTAACTTAACTACCCTAACTCGACGACAACAGCAACAGCAACAGCAACAACAACAACAACAACAACACAACAACTACAACAAAACTACAACAACAACTAAACAACACCACCCACAACAACACAACACACTACAACTACAACAACTACAACACTACAACTACACTACACAACAACTACAACTACAACTACAACTACAACTACAACTACACAACAACTACAACTAGAACTACAACAACAACAACAACAGCAACAACAACAACAACAACAACTACAACTACAACAACTACAACAACAACAACAACTACAACTACTACTACTACTACTACTACACAACAACAACTACAACCACACAACAACTACAGTTACAACAACAACAACAACAACTACAACTACAAATACAAAACAACTACAGCTACAACTATATGACTGCAACTACACTACACTAATTACATTACACCACAACTACAACTCCACTACGCTACAACTACAACTACAGTTGCAGTACATCACACTACATCCAGCAGTTGTGGGTGAGGTGACCACTGCAACCATTGCAACCACTCCAGCAAACACAACTCCAACCACCTTTCGGTCAATCAGTGGATTCGCTCTGCCATCCGTGATTCACAACAACCAACGTCTCCTATAGGTTTCCTATTCTGAAACTTCCGCCACCGCCTTGTGCGGTACTACTGGTATACATATGTATACATATATCATCATATATCTATACACATGTTTGAGGTTGGACATAGGGAAGAACACATTGTTACAAGGTGGTGCCCCCTAGTTATACCTTGGTCTGTTGATCTATCACCACCGGTACTTCTCCCCTGATTTGCTGTCAAAAGTGCCAGTCATAGGTCAGTTATAACTTATAACCCCCTTCATTCAATAATAACGCCATAGAAATACGCATTTATTACAATTTACACCTGGTAAAAACTTTAACTGTGGGAAGATGAGATGATGAGATGAACACAGCAACTGCAGCCGAATTGCTGCAGCCACTCTACGGCATGAAAAACTCGTGTACGCCAATGGCAGTGTCACGGATGTTTAAGTTGTGGTCTCCTTTTTCGGAAACCCAACAAGGCCAAGTCCAACATCTAGTATACTCTATGTATACTCTATGTCATGGACACTGCTTGTTTCTTGCAATTCCTTCAAGCTTAAAGTAGTCCAGAAAATGATCATGCTATCGGAGATG